TCCTGACTGCTGGCGAGGTGGGCGGCTTCATAAGCGCTATTGGCCAATTTGCTTTCCGTTCCCATAATTTGTCTGCTTCTAGTTTTGTCCCTTTATTTAAAATAACTGTTTGATTGTGTGTGTGTGTGTGTGTGTGTGTGCGCGTGCGTGTGTGTGTGTGTGTGTGTGTGTGTGGTTATATAAGATGTTTGGAGATTTTACATACATATCACCATATGCACATGTTACATACTGTGTGTATTGCGTAGAGTACACACACACACACACACACAGTTTATGCTGCTGTGGACACGTGTTCAATGATCTTCTCTGAGCTGGTGGCTGGTCTCTTCACCTTGTCTGTGGTGTCTTTCGCGCATAGTGGTTTATGATTTTAACGTAGTCAAACTCCCCAGTCTTCCCTTCTCGTGCTATTTGTGTCTCGTTGGAGACGTTCTTCTTCACCCTGGCTCATGCAGATAGTCTCCTTATTTTTAGAAGTTACTGTCGTTTTCCTTTCCATGCTTTGGTTTCTCCTCTGGCAGGAGAGGATTTTCAAGGAGGTCGTGAGGCCGGCCTGCCCTTTCCTACACGGTGCTAGGGGCTCCCGCCCCGGTTCCCACAGGATCCCGCTCCTCGCTGGGGGTCCGCCTCCTCACAGCGAGCGTCCCGTGTTCGGTAATTCAGTGCCAGGCTGCCTTTTTTCCTCCAAAGTTATTTATTTATCCCTGTTCCAATACTACCCTATATTAACGAACTAATTTTGTAATGAACCGTCGGCTCTGATGGGGCCAGGCCCCTCGACAGTTCTCTTCGTCAGCCGCGCCATAGCTGTCGCTGACCTTTTTTTCTTCAGTTTGTGAAGTTTTACATAAACCCCTTGGGATTTTTTGGGGGGGAATTGCCACAAAGCTACATATCAATTTAAAGAAAACTGTCATCTTTACCATATCACGTTTTCCTCCCATGAACACAGTAAGTATTTGGTTAGGGTTATTCCTAGATAGCCTGGCTGGGCTCCGTCAGGGCCCGCCCAGCCGCGCACTCGGCTCTAGGATCCAGGCCCAGTGGGGACGGGTGTGTCTACTCAAGCGGGACCGAGAAGCACTCAGTGCGAGTCCTGACCGCACTCCACGGGGCCTCCCTGCTGCCCTCACGGAGGGGCGGGCCTGCTCCCGGGCCTGAGACGTCTGCGCCTCCCTCCCTCGACTTCTCTGGAAACCCAGCCCCGCCCTCCCCCAGCCTCAGTCTTCCCAGATCCGTGGGTCCCCTGAGGGGTTCCCTCACTCTGCAGGCAGGCTTGCTGGAGCCGTCACAGGCGTGGGGAGCTGACCCTGCATGTCCTGGGAGGGAGGTCCCTGTCTTCTGCAGACACCCCTGACCCTGTGATCCCGCTTCCCGGGACGCTGTACACACCCAGCCCGAAGCCACAGAGGTTGTGAAATCATGTTTTTGGGTCTGGCTGGGTGGAAAGGGCTGGCCTTGTGAGCACAGCGCCGGAGGACGAGGGCCACGCTCATGGCTGGAACGGCTGTCACTGGGGGAGAACCCCTGTTCCCGGGGATTGTGGCCCGCCCAGGCAGGCTGCCCTCCATTCAGCGAAGAAGGGCCCTGAGCCCAGGCTGCCTGGGGCCCCGCGGCTGTGCTGGGGGGTGGCTGAGACCCTGGGGTCCCGACATCTGGCCCTCTTGCCTTCCCTGCATCTTTATCTCCTGTTGCGGGAGCCAAACCTCACGCCCCCACAGGGATCTGTGGAGCCAGGGGAGTGCGGGCAAGTGGGGAGGGAGGTCTTGTGGGGAGGGGTCCCAGCATGCTGCTTAACAGGGTCCTTCAAGGGGGGCATCCAGGCCGCAGGGACACCTGGGGCTCTGCTTTGGTGTTTGTTGTCTGCACTTGGTAACAAATTGTCGCAAACTTAGAGGCTAAGAACAACACCCGTTTACTGCCTCGCAGTTTCTGTGGGTCAGGAGTCGGCACGCTTCTCTGCTCAGGGTCTCAGCAGACTGTAATCACGGTGTCACTGGCTGTGATCTCATCTGAGAATCAGGGACCCCTTCCAAGCCATGTGATTGTTGGCAGAATTCAGTGCCTTGTGGTTGCAGGACTGAGGTCCCCACGCTCTTGAGGGCTGCCGGCCGGGGACCACTCCACTCCTAGAGGCCCCTCAGCTCCTCGTCACATGGGCCCCTCCATAGGAAGTTCACACCCGTGGCTGTTTGCTTCTTCGAGGCTGTAGGAGAATCTCTGCAGCTTCAATTCTCTCCCTGCAGAGAAGGCTGGGCCCCAAGGGGCTCACCTGATTAGGTCAGGCCCGCCCAGGATAATCTGCCCGTTGGGTAACTCAAAGTCAAATAATCAGAGATCCTAATTACTTCTGCAGAATCTCTCCGCCGTTGCCACACAACCTGACCTAAGTATGAGAGTGACATCCTGTCACAGTCACAGTTTCACTCAAGGGAGGGGATTGCACTGGACCATCATAGAATTCTGCCTCCATCGGGCGACCGTGCATCACCGCTGTTTCCACCCGCATTTCCGCACTGTTCTGAGGAGCTTCAGAGCCCTGGGGGAAATGCTGGGCCTTCCATGCACTGCTGTTAAGCTTCCTAACAGTCTGGCAGGACCACCTCGCTTCCCCCTTTCCCCACCCTAAGACTGAGGCTCCCAGCCCGGGGAGCATCGGCACGCGGACAGCGCTCTCTGCTGGGTGCTCCTGGCCGCACTGGCTGGAGAGGCAAAGCCTGGATGGGAACCTCAACTTGCAGACCCCACCCCACTGCCAGCAGACAGGCCCCACCAGCCACACTGCCTGTGATCGACATCCCGCGGCCCAGGCCAGGCGCTGGACGCCAGGGAAGCGCACGCTGACTGCCCCCAGGCTCCTGGAAGGCAGCCGGGTCACAGATGGTGCAGACCGGAGTCCGAGGGGCACCTCACTGCCCCCAGCAGACTCTCAGGGTCTCCTAGACTCGCCTCTCTGCTCACAGGGAAGACGCTCCGGGGCCTGCTTGAACCCCTCTGCTGACGAGGAGCTCCCCTCTCCCCGGGGCAGTCTCTCCCATCCCTGGAGAACTCTGCCCGGGAGAGCTCAGCTTCACGCTGGGCGCACACACCTCCTCGCAGCTCCTGCCCGTGGTTTGGAGGCGATGGGGCTGCAGTGACTCTACAGTGATATGAAGATGACAACAGATGCTGCGCATCCTTGGGATGGTCACTATCCCTCACTGAGCCTCGGTCTCCTCATCCAAACCTGGGGCCGACCTGGACTTGGGTCAACATCTGCCCCTTGGATGAAGCCGACTCAGAGAAAGGAGGGCAGAGACAGCCGTGTTGGGGTGGAGCTCCGGCACCTGGCAGTCAGGAGGTGGGGCTGTGTGACCCTGGGCAGGTGGCTTTCCTTCTCTGTTTGGGGAGGTGGATGAGTCTCCAGAGACCCCCAGCAAGGAGTGTGACTTCATTCCCAGCCCCAGGGGCTCCTCCAGGAGGGGTCTTTTGTCCCCTCGGTCCCCACACAGCTCAGCCTGCAACTGGCCATCATGAAGCTTGCACGGTAGGTGCACAGAGAACCTGTGTGGACAGCCACTGAAGGGACCCAGTGTTGATGCCAGTACCTTCTTCTGAAGCCAGAGTGTGGGGCTTCCGGGCTGTGCACCCACTCAGTGCACAGGGCTGAGTGCCTACTATGTGCCAGGCACACACCCATCCCATACCCACTCTGCTGAGAGAGGGTCTCAAGGGGCTGCTGCCTGGACCCTGGCCTCCAGGGGGCAGAGCAGGACCGGAGCTGTCTGCCTGGGGCCCAAGCCAGCCCCCTGGCCTCCACCCGCCAGCTCTCCTGCTCAGTGCTGCCCACTCTGTGCCCGGGACACATTTTCTCTTCATTCTCAGAACCCTGCGGTAGGGTCTGTCTTCAGTAACAGACGAAGAAGAGACTGAGGGTCTGAGAGGTTAAGCAACTTGGCCAGAGTGACTCAGCCTTTGGCTGAGCGTCTCGCAGCCTGTGGTTGTGGGAGCCCTTCCCGCAGCAATCAGTTCTGCTAATAGGAAACAGACGACTCGTAGCCCAGCCCTGGCGCTGGGCTGAGCCTGCTTCTGCAATCCTCACTTTGACCCCAACACCAGGATTATCAGCCTCGCGGTCATTGTGACCAAACCGGGGCTCAGAGAAGCCCGCAGCCTGTGAGCGGGGGCTGGACTTGAACCCAGGGGTTGCCGGATCAAACCCCCCTCTGGACCTCCAGGTCTGCTCCCGAGAGCAATGGGGTCCCAGGAGGTCGGCGCCGCCAGTGCGGACCAGGGGTGGTGGGGCCCCAGGGCAACGACCGCTCGTAGCGGGTCAGGGACGGCACAGCCTCCCAGGGCCCCGTCCTCCAAGGCAGGTGGTGGATGGAGAGCGGCCAGCCCGCTGGTCCCCCCACATGGAGTGGCTGCAGGCCAGGCCCGGGGCGCAGCCCGGCGGGTGGACCCCCTGAGATCTGTGACCTGGAGGCAACCGGGACCCGCCCTACCTGCTGTTTCCGGTGGGCGCAGGCCATCAGTCTTCGTGTTTTCCGTTCCCGCGCCCCCACCTCCGCTGTCCAAACCCAGCCCATGGAGAGGGCAGTTTGGGGTCAAGCCTTGTCGGCTGTTCTCCTGGGATGCGCTCCGTTCCCCCGGTTCTGGAAAGCTCTCTGCTGCCCCCTGGTGGGAAGGCCTGGGGTGGGGCACCCCTCACCCCGAGATCAGAGGATGGACGGATGGATGGATGGAGCTCCCTGCCCCGCCCTCCCCACGGGGCCTTCGGGCTCTGCTGCCTCTCCTGGGCACACGCAGAGCCACAGCCAGGACTGAACCTGGGCTCTGCCCCACCAGCTGGCCCCTCTCCAGGCCTCGGTTTCCCCTTCTGTTAAATGACGGTCTCCGGGGGATGAGAAGTGACTGCTCCAGGGGACAGGAGTTCCTTTGGGGAGATGGAAGGTTTGGGGTCCAGACAGAGGCAGTGGTCGCCCAAAACTGTGATGCACAAAAATGCCACGGAATTGTTCGCTTCAAACGGTTAGTTTTATGTCACGTGAGTCTCACTTCATCAGCAAAATAAATCAAAGACGAGGAGCTCGGAGCAGGGCCGAGGGGGAGAACCACGCAGGATGCCCACGGCCTCTCTGAGCCTCGGTTTCCCGGCTGTGAATCGGGGAGGGCGCTGGTTTCAACCTCGGAAGGGCTGGGATTCTGGCCCTTGGCTGGTTGCTGGGAGCGGGGAGGGAGGGGGCGGGAGGGCTGGGGGCGCGGCCCAGACGAGGCTCAAACACACTCAGCAGCGGACTCCACATGGGGCTAGAGGCCCCGCCACCACTCTTCCTGAGGGCTGACCGGGGGCTGCAGGTGGGGCTGGCCAGGCTGGGCCCCAGGACGCTCCAGTGCGGGAACACTTGGGCCACCTTCCCCTGTCTCTGTGGCTTTCTTGACACACACAAGGGGTGGAGAGGGACAGGACAGTGACAGGGGGACCTTCTTCCAGGACCCGCCCTTGCGTGTTAATGGGGCCATGTCCCTCCAGGCAGGCTGGCAGAGTGGTATGGCGGTTACCACACTAGACCCAGGAACTCTGCCCCTACCTACCTGCTGTGTGACCCTGGGCAAGGCACCTAACCTCTCTGTGCCTCCGTTTCTTCAGCCATAAACAGGGATGAAACAGTCCTGACCTCGCAGGGCGGTTTGAGGATGGAAGGCAGAGCCCAGTGCTGGACACATGGCGAGGGCTCGGGGAAGGGAGAAGATGCCCAGGGAACCCCACGACTGACTCCCGCTGCCAGGCAAGAGACTGGACGCTGAGGGGAGTGACCTGCCCGAGGCCACACTGGGTCTGCTGAACTCACAGCCTTCTGGCTCAGGCCTGAGGACCAGCAGCGGGGCGGGTGCCTGGGGACAGGGCTGGTCCCTGGTCCCTCAACTGTCCCCGGGAGGCAGGCCAGGGAAGGGGCCCTGCAGACGTCAAGAGGTTACTGCATCGTTTATTGCTGTTTGACCCCCACCTCGCGCCTCCACTTCCCAGAGAGTGAGCCGCCCAGAGACAGCGGGCCGGGGGAGAACCCCCCTAGACGGGCCTCAGGGCGGGGGACCAGGGACCAGCCAGGGCACCCGCCCGCAGCCCCGCTGGGGGGCCGTGTTGACCCTGCGGACGCTGAGCTCAGCGGCGAAGGTGCGGGCCTTCTGGTAGAAGAGGAGGGACTTCTCGCGGTCCCGCAGGGAGTTGTGGTAGACGGTGGCCAGGCGCGAGTAGATCTCCATCTGGGCCTTCTTGTTGCCCAGGTCCACGGCCGCCGCCAGCGCCAGCTGGTAGTATCCGGCCGCGTCGAGCGGGTCCTGGGGGAGACAGGCGATGGACGCAGCCCTGCCTCCCACGTCATCCCAACCCTGGCGCAGGCGGGAGCCTCCCCGCAGGCTGTCCCCCACGCCCTGGACCCCAGCCGCGCCCCAGGGGCCGAGGCCTCCGTGGAGCCGCCCCTGGACTCGGCTCCCACTGTCCTCCATGGGGGGCTCCTGTCCCGTCGGACCTGGGGTCTGGGTGGGCCTGGCGTTTTGGCAGCCCCGGTCTTCATGTGCTCCGGACCCCACGGCGGCCCGCCCTCGGGAGCAGGCCTGTCATCGCGTCCCCTCCAGCGGCCCCTTGTCCCAAAGCCCCTCCCTGCGCCCCCCAGGCGTCCCAGAGGACAGCTGTGGCCCTCCCCAGGGACGGCTCAGAGCCCCCTGCAGGGCCCACCCCAGCCCAGGGCCGTCTCCTTCACCCTGTGTCCACCCTGGAGCCGGCCTGGCCGGGCGCCTCCACACATCAGGCCCAGTGCAAAGCCCCTCGCAGGCTCGTCTCAGAATCCTCTGCAGCTTCGATGGGCGTGAACCCCCGGATGCCCGCTCCCATTTCAGAGGCCTCTGCCTTATAGTCGCCTCCCGGCCAGGGTGCCCCCATCTCCCCCCAGCTCCCCCCACCCTCCTCCACACCGAGGTTACCTGAGGGACCATTGGAAAACCCAAACCTGCCATCCTACCCCTGCTCATGACGGCTCCCCAGCACCTAGGGCAAAGTCCAAATTCACCAGCCCTTGCTCCTCACTGCCCCCACGTGGAGCAAGGACCCAGAAGAAAATAAAAGCAGACGAGCGTTCCCCCAGCCCCTTCCAGGTGCTGGACCCTGTCCGGGTGGGAGCCACGCGGATTCTGATGGGTGACGCTGACCATAGGGACAACTGGTGCTGTGGCAGAGGGAAGCCCAGCAGCCTGTGGGGGCCCTGACTCAGCTTGGGGTGGGATGGGAGGACTTCCTGGAAGAGGGGGCATCCTCCAAACAAAACAGAAGGAAGCAGCCAAAGTGGGTGGTTGGGGGCCGTGGTGGTGTGTATTCGTGTGCATGTGTGTGCGTGTTGCACGTGTGCATGTAACAGCTAGTGGATGGCAGACCCAGGATTCACAGCCAGCTTTGTCCTATCCCACGTCTCCTAGTTTGGGCTGTGACACACCACGCGCAGGCTAAAGCTGACCCCTTCAGACAGACCAGCAGCAGAGATGCCTGAAGACCCCCAGACCAGGGTGGCACTTACAGGCCCCATCCCGCCCCCTGTCTCCTTCCCAGCCCTGTCCTGAGCAGGGAGCCCCAGTCACACGAGGGGCATGAAGGGACCTCTCTGCCTCCCGGCACGTGGGGGAGGGGGTGAGGTCAGCAGTGGCCCTGAGGGACTTCCGAGGCCTTGTCCTGGTAAAGGCAGGCCTGGTGCCGACAGTGCCACACGCCTGGGGGTGGTAGCATGGCTTGGGAAGTGGGTTGGAAGGAGGCAGAGTTCTCTGCCCCTTGGTTGCAGCCACCCTGGCCCAGGTCCTCGGCCCCTCGGCTGCAGCCTCACCCTTTCCTTCCTCCCAGGTGATGGTGGAGACATGAGGCCCTGTGCCCAGGACCCCATCCCAGGGTCAAAGGTGAGCAAGCAAGGATCTGCCTGGGTGTCAGATCAGGGACCTCGGGGCCTGGAGCTGCCGCTGGCTTGGCTCTCGCACCCCTCATCCTGGGCAAGTCTATTCGCTTCCCCAGGCAGCGTCAGTTTCCCCTTATAGCTGCTTGGTAATTGATCACACAGAAGCTGCGGTGGTACGAGCTCCATGTGGCCCCATCCTCAGACACCGAGGGGTTGGGGTGTATGCAGCTCAGGTGAGGTTGACCACAGCCCTGCTCCACCACCAGGCTCCATGGTCCCGGACACAGAGGAGGACCTGGCGCAGACCCGGGTCAGAAGGTCACGGGATCCCAGAGTCCCAGGTGCTGGAACCCCACCTCATTGCTTGAACTTTCTCTAATGAGCTGACCGCACCTAGCCTCAGGCTCCTGCCTGTCCTGTGAGGACACCAGCTCCTCCAGAACAGCAGAGCATGCGAAGAGCCAACCCCCCAGAGGATGGACCATGCAGAGCCTGGACCATGAGGAGCCTGGACCACACAGAACCTGGACCGCACAGATCTTGGACCACAAAGAGCCTGGACCTCAGAGAACCTGGACCGCACAGAGCCTGGACCATGCACAGAGCCTGGACGTCAGACAACTTGGACCATGCACAGAGCCTGGACCATGCACAGAGCCTGGACTGCACAGAGCCTGGACCTCAGAGAACCTGGATCTCAGAGAACCAAGATCGCAACTGGACCATGCACAGAGCCTGGACCATGCACAGAGCCTGGATCGCACAGAGCCTAGACCGAACCGAGTCTGGACCATGCACAGAGCCTGGACCGCACAGAGCCTGGACCGAACCAAGTCTGGACCATGCACAGAGCCTGGACCATGCATAGCCTTGAAAATGCACAGAGCCTGGACCATGCACAGAGCCTGGACCATGCACAGAACTGGGTCCGTGCAGAGCCCGGACGATGCACACAGCCTGGATCATGCACAGAGCCTGGACCGGACAGAGCCTGGACCATGCACAGAGCCTGGACTGCACAGAGCCTGGACCTCAGAGAACCTGGACCTAAGAGAACCTGGAGAGCACAGAGCGTGGACCATGCAAAGAGCCTGGATTGCGCAGAGCCGGGACCATGCACAGAGCCGGGACCATGCACAGACCCTGGACCACACACAGCTTGGCTCGCACCGAGCCTGGACCATGCACAGTGCCTGGACCGCACAGAGCCTGGACCATGCACAGAGCCTGGACCAGGCACAGAGCCTGGACCGCACAGAGCCTGGACCATACACAGAGCCTGGACCGCGCAGAGCCTGGACCGTGCAGAGCCTGGACCATGCACAGAGCCTGGACTGCACAGAGCCTGGACCTCAGAGAACCTGGACCGCACAGAGCCTGGACCGCACAGAGCTTGGACCATGCACAGAGCCTGGACCACACAGAGCCTGGATTGCACAGAGCTTGGACCATGCACAGAGCCTGGACCGTGCAGAGCCTGGACGATGCACAGAGCCTGGACGATGCACAGAGCCTGGACCATGCACAGAGCCTGGACGATGCACATAGCCTGGACCATGAAGAACCTGGTCATTGCAGAGCCTTATCTGCGGTGAGGCACAGTTGCCCGGGTCCCCGCTGTTGCTCCCCCACAACTGCCTGGCTGACATTGCAGGAGGCTGCAGTGACCACTTCTGACCACCAGGTGTTGCCAGCACACAGCCAGGGCCACCCCAGGCAGTGGAGTGGGGATACAGACCGAGTGGGTTTCTTCCAGGGCCACCCCAGCTCCTAGATGTCATTCGGTGGAGGGGGGAGGGGGAGACCTCGGCCCCTGGGGTGTGGCGCCCTCGCCCCTCAGCCAACCCAGATCAAGGATGCTGTGCAGATGCAACGCTAGACCCGGGTGGGTTGAGGTGGGGACGCCTGTGCAGGGGTGCGATGGAGGTCGCTCTCCAGGCCTGTCTGCGTCCACTGCAGGGCTCTGAGGTGGACGGAAAAGAGGCCCCAGCTCCCGCCCCTCCAGCCGCGACAGGGCAGGGACTCAGCCAGGCTGCCTGCAGTGGTGTTCCAGCTACAAACCTGCTGCCTGTCGCATGCAGCCCCCAGCCGCACTTTCCCTCTCTGTGAAGTGGGATGAGGACAGGGCCGGCCTGCGCCACCCGGGTGACGTGAGGGCTACAGGCATCTCAAGATTCCAGGAAGGAAGGGCACTGCACAGACTGGCAGGCTTCCTGGAAGAGGGGCCAGGATTTGGGTTGCGCCTTACAGTGTAGGTCTCTGGGGATCACGGTGACCCTTCCCCTGCCCCTCGGAATGTCCTCGTCTCCCTCCCACTTTTTGGTGGCTAACTCTTGCTGGACTGTCAAGACTCAGCTTTGCAGTCACCTCCTCCAGGAGGCCTCCCTGACTACACTCCCTCTTGTTTCTCATTTACCCAAGGGCAGCCTCTCCCACTGCCCCGACCCGGAGCTCTTGAGGACAGGGCCTGGCCCACGGGGGAGCTGGGACAGTGTCTGCTGACCACGCCTGCTCCTCACAGCCAGGTAGACCACAGGGGCTGACACTGGAGAGGACCTGGACCCAGGCTCCGAGGTCCTGGGCAGTAGTCCCACTCCAAGGGCGCGGCAATGGCTCCCCCACGCCCCAGCGCCCTGAGCCCCGCCCCCCACCTTCAGGTCGTAGAGGATGATGTCCCCAAGCACCAGGTACACCTTCACGTAATACAGGGTCTCTTCCTCGAACTCCAGCGGCGAGCTGCAGAGCGACAGGGCCTTGAGGTAGAAGTGCTCAGCCAGCTCGCCATGGCCCAGCCGGTGGTGCAGGGCGGCCAGCCGGTGGTAGGCCACTCGCTCGTTCAGCCGGTCCCCTGGGGACACAGTGTGGGGGACATCATGAGGATGCGGCTGTGGAGGCGCAGGGGATGCAGGCCAGTGGGGAGCAGCTGCACCGACAGTGTCTCAGAGCTCCAGGCGGTCACTGCCCGGCTCGAGCCGCACTTTCCCGTCTGTGCAGTGGACTGAATAGCGCCTGCTGCCCCGCCTCGAGGATGTGGCAAAGTCGTGGATTTGGACGCCCCAGCTCGGTGCCTGCGCAGAGCCGCCCAGACGGGCTGCTTCTGGTTACTGGTTTTGACCAGGAGACCCCAAAAGTCACTCAGCCTATGCACTTCCAGGTGCCAGAGCGCTGGTCAAGCCGTGCACGTGACATCTGGCCCTCCCGGGTACATCCTCGGTTGTCCATCCGTGCCTTCCTCAGGGAGAGGCCAGACCAGCCTGTCTCCAGGCTCCCCCCATTCCAGGGCCAGAACAGTGGGGCCTGCATGCAAACCCTGCTGCGCACCTACTGTGTGCAGGGCCTGGGGTGTGCGGTGCTGCCCGGCCCTCACCGGGCTCCCTGTCTCTGGGGGAAGACGGACAGCCTGGAACAGCACAGTTAGGTGCTGGCACAGAGGGTGCGAGCATCACGGGTCCCACTTCCAGAAAGGGGGCTTGGATTTCACCAGCCAGAGGACAGCAGGCGCTGCCTGGGAGCAGGGAAGGAAGGGCCCGCAGAGAGGCCTGGGGACTCAGGCTGGCACCTCCAGGGTCCAGTGAGAAGCCAGGAGGATCTGGATGCAGGGCATGTCACCTGGCCCTCGTGGTCGGCAAGGGAAAGAGGAGGCAAAGGAAACCACAGGGCTGGCAGATAAAGTCCAGCCACACAGCAAGCAAGGTTCTTTCTGAGAGACCCCCAGCCGTCCCCTGGGGCCAGGACTGCGCAGGCTCGCTGCAGACCTCAGCCTGCCTGCGCAGGAGGGCGGCCCTCACGGGAGGGTGGCCTGCACGGGAGGGGGGCCCACAGGGGAGGGCGGCCCTCACGGGAGGGCGGCCTGCAGACTGCAGGAGCCAGCTGGCAGCTGGCCTGGGTCAGCCTGTCTTTAGCCTTCTGCTCCTGACCCCTGGATCTCCAAATGGAGGCCCGGTGGGCCAGCAGTGCGGGGGGCTTACCCAGGGTGATGCTGAGTGCCAGGGCCACGTGGGCGAACTCCAGGCCCTCCTCAGGCGCCTCCAGTTCTGCCAGCAGCGCCACCAGCTTGTTGCACAGCCGCAGCTCTGCCTCCTGGTTCCCTGTGGTCACAGCCAGGGGCAGTGCCTGGTCCTGCCCACACAGACGGGGGTCAGGCCTCCTCCCGCAGCTGCCAGCCCAAGCCCAGTACCCTCCTCAGGGCCCCAAACGCATGCTGGGAGCTTCCCGCCCCCACTGTCCTGCGGGATCCTTATTTAGAAGGGTCAGCTCAGAGAGGTCGTGACACCCCCAGGGCCACCGGGCCATGAGCAAGCTGGGGTGTGACCTGCAGCCCACCCCGTGACCCTGCTTAACCTTAGACCAGCCCCTCCCCTCCTGGGCAAAGTGGGCCTGACCGAAAGGGTCAATATCCCTTGGTGCTCCCAAAATGCCACGTTTATCTGTGCCCTGGGGCTGACAGAGGAAGGGAGAAGCCACTCTCCGGGGAGGCATGTACAGACCTCGGCCCTGGGCCCTGTCCTCTTGCTGACATGCTCTGTGTCCTCTGAAATGCCCCTATGCCTCTCTGAGCCTCAGTTTCCTCATCTGTAAAATGGAGACAGGACTCGCATCCCAGGGTTGTTTGAGAGCATCAGGATGCACACTGTAAGCCTCAGGCTGCCTCTGGCCTCAAACGGTCCTTCTTTTCTCTGTCCTTCCCAGGTTGGGGGTGGAGATCAAGACCATGCCAGGAGAAACCACTGGGAAACTAGGCGTGTCCACGGGGCAGTCCTGCCTCTGGGTGGGAGGTGCCTGCCTCGCCATACCTTCTCCATGGCCTGTCTCTAGAGAGGCCCCTAAGGCCCACCCGAGTCAACCCACAGGGGCCGGCTCACCCGGTAGAAGGACACGGCTTTCTCCCGCTCCCGGCTCCCATTGAAGAAGATGTCTCCGGCCGCCTCGAACAGCTCCAGCCCCAGGTTGGGGTCCCCCGTGTACAGGGCAGCGTTCTGTGCCACCTGTGGGATGCAGAGACCCTCATGAGACCCACAGAGCCCGCAGGGCGAGGTGGCCCTGTCCACTGGCGGGAACCTCCCGGCCAGCTTCCCTCTGCTCACAAAGCGCCCGGGTCTCTCAGTTTCTTCCACATCATCTCACGTTTGGGAAAGCGTCTAAAAACGGAGCTTCTGTGATAAATGCGTTTTCACGGAGACGTGCTACATGCTGCAGAAGCAAGTTCTTCTGTGTGTCAACTGAGTGTCAACTCTGCACATTTATTGAGCACCTGCTGTGTACCACCACGGTAGTGCAGGGCACTGTGACCGGCACACACCTGGCCCCTGAGAGCTCAGGTTGTTGTGGAAGATGCTGGCAGTGGGGGGTCCAGGGCAGGGGGGGAAGGGGCACCCGGCATGCAGCTGTGCTCCACACGGTTTAGGAATGAATGACTGAGTGAGCGAATGAGCGAGACAGTGGGTGTGCACTCATGCCGGGTCCTCGCACCTGGATGTACAGCTCCACCAGCTCGTCCTGCTGGAGGAGATAGTAGATCTTTCCGGCCTGCAGCCAGGCGTGCGCCTCCTTCTCCTTCTTCTGCAGGTCGATGAATATCCCCAGGCTGCGTTTGGTGTAGTCCAGGGCGGATCTGTAGGCCCTGCAACGAGACGCGGGCGGTCAGACGAGCGCTCCCAGGGCAGCCGCTGCGTGCGGGCGGACCCAGCTCTTCCCAGTGTGGGTCTGGAGACGATGGACCTGCGACCCGGGGAGCGGGCACAGACCCTGCCCTTCCGGGCTGACGAGCAGCGCACACAGGGTGAACACAGCACTGCTCGCCCAGCAAAGATCGTGGAGGCCCGTCAGAGGGCAACAGCCATGTGGCCGGGAAGAGCGCGCTATTCCGCCTCTGTCCACTCTGCCCACCTCCCCAAACGCGGGCACACGGCCTCTCCAGAGGCAGTAGGAAACAGTAGCGCTGGGCAGAAATTCAGAGATTACCTAGGCCGGTGGTTCTCAAATTCAAGTGAGCAATCAGATCACCCGGAGAGCTGTTAGATGCAGCCTGCCGGGCCTTGCTCCCAGGGTTTCTGACTCAGCAGGTCTGGGGTAGGGCCCGAGAATGTGCATTTCCAGCAAGCTCCCAGGTGATGTGGGTGCTTGCTGGTCTGGGGACTCCACTTTGAGAAGCTTTGATCTAGGGCACTGGCCCATCGGTTTTGCCATGAAACCGAGGACCAAGGGGGAGGGGTGGAAGCCAGGACTAGCCCACTTTCCGAGTCTTTGTGGAAATCCAGCCCCTCCCTGCTCTCTCAGTGAGTCCCTACGTTGGAGGGAGTTGTGATCATGATTTTTCCGGGCCCCACGGGCTGCAGGGCCCAGGCCATCTGTTGCCGCACCTGGCCGGGATGCTCAGTGTGGGTCTCACACAGAACATGCGACCCTGAAGGCCTGCCCCTGGGGAAGCAGGCGGGACACCCAGCTCTGTCTCCTGTGGACAAGGATCCTCTGGGCACACGTGGCCACTGTCCTCACATCTGAGCAGGCAGACAAGGACCAGATGGCCTTGGCCCACACCCGGGCCAGTGGGAAAAGACTCAGGGTGGGCAGCAGTCAGCTTACAAAAGGCACCATGGCAGGAAGAACAGCCCAGAAATGCCAGTTCTGCCTCCCTTGGGCATGAGATGCCTGTTGGGGAGGTGTGCGAGTGGAGACTGGAGGACACATGCCGTGGGACCCATATGTCGCGAGCATCGGTGGGGACTACCCCTAGACCTGCCAGCTCTGAGTTTATCTGGTGCTGAGGGAGGAAATGGCCTCAAGGAGGGGCTGCCCCAGGACAGGGCCCAGCAGCCTCGCCACCCCCTCCCACCCTGCGGAGCCGGCCCTCACCGCTCAGTCCCCAGGGAGAGGTAGAGCTGGCTGATGGTCTCCAGGAGCTGCCCCTCCAGCACCTTGTTGGCCACCCTGCGGGCCAGCGAGAGCTGGAACTCGAGGTAGATGATGCACTGGGCCTCGCTGGGCATGACCGTGCTGTAGAAGTGACACAGCCGCTGGACCGCACGCAGCTGGCCTTGCAAGGGAGACAAAAAGAAGACGTCACCATCACATCACAGTGACATCTACAGGGCTCAAAGGCCCCCACTGTGTGCCCGCCTCTTCCGTGCCTCTGTGAGCCGGGTCATCTCAGTGGGGAACTGAGCCCAGACAGCCTGAGTGTCCCGCTCCAGGTCACAGCCAACCTGCACACCGTGACAGGGCCAGGCAGGGCATGTTGTAGATGCTTGAGGGATGGCACCAATCACTTTTACATCCCCCGGGGCTGGGGGTCCGGGCCAAGCTCTCCCACCACACCAGGCTGCCTGCTTTTGCTTCACAAAGCTCCACCCAGCCGACAGGGGCTGCCTGCACACCGAGCTGATGCAGAAGGGAGCACTGGCATCCCCAGGTTGCAGATGGGCAGACTGAGCCCAAAGCTGAGTACCAAGTCCAGAGCACACGGCGCGTCTAGTTTCTGGCATTCGGAGCCAGGGCTGCCTCATGAAGCCAGGGTCCAAACCCACAGCCCCACTTGCCTCTCCTGAACCCAGGGAGCTGGGACAAGGTGAGAGCTGTCACTGCCGAAAATGACCTGAGATCAAGAAGGGGAGCAAAGACTTGAACGACACCGTGAACCCACCAGACCTAACAGACGCCACCCAACAACAGGGCACACGTTCTTCTCGAGCCCCCAGGGAACATTCTCCAGGACGGAGCGGAGGTTGGATCAGAAAACAATTCTCATAAACGTAAAAGGATTGAAGTCATACCAAGTGTGTTCTCCAGCTACCGTGGAATGAAATCAGAAATCAACAGCAAAGGGAAGTAAGTGAACATTAACAACATACTCCTAAATAGCCAGTGGGCCAAGGAAGAAATCACAGTGAAAGCTAGAAGGTGTTTTAAGATGACCAGAAATAAAAGCACCACGCACCAAAACATACGGGATGCAGAGAAAGCAATGTGTTATAGCTGTAAATGCCTACACCGAAAAAGAAGGAAAACTTCAAATCAAAAACTTACACTTCCACCTTAACAAACTAATAAAAGAGGAGTTAACTAGACCCAAAGCAAGCAAAAGGAAGGAATACTAAAGATTCAAACAGAAATGATAAAATAATAAAAGAGAGAATGGAAAAACAATAGAGAAAATTCAATGAAAAGACTAACAAAATTGGGGGCAGGCCCCATGGCCTAGTGGTTGGGTTCATGCACTCTGCTTCGGTGGCCCAGGGTTTCGCCAGTTCGAATCCTGGGTGCAGACATGGCACCGCTCACCAGGCCATGCTGAAGCAGCATCCCACATGCCCCAACTAGAAGGACCCACAACTAAAAATATACAACTATGTACCAGGGGGCTTTGGGAGAAAAAAGGCAAAATTAAAAAAAAAAAAAGATTAACAAAATTGACCAAGGAAAAAAAGAGAAGATGCAGATTACTAAAATCATAAGTGAAAGAGGAGACATTACTACCGATCCTACAGAAATAAAAGGGTTTTAGGAGAATGCTATGAACAATTATACGCCAGTAAATTAGATAATTTAGATGACATGGATAAATCCTAAAAAGACATAAACTCCTGAAATGGACTAAAAAATGACCAAGAGCAAGCACGGGTGACCCTGGAGTGTCACCCCAGCCCTTAGTTGATATGGGGGAGGGGGAAACAACGTGGTGCCCTGGGTCCCCCAGCTTGGCATTCCCAAGTCTGACTCCCCCAGCACCCTGAGGGGGGCTCATAGGAGATTTCTCAGAGGCCCACAGGGGGCCACATGCCACTGGTGAGCACTGCCAGGACCTGCCTGAGGCCACAGGACAGGCCTGGGGACACAGCTCTTGTTTTTTCCTGGGAGTCTAGAGGGTCCACTTCCAGCCTCAGTGAGTGTTCTCCATCCCTCACTGGCTCCCCAGTGCCCTTGGGGAAAATGCCAAACCATGGCCCGGGTTCCCTGGCCCCTGCCTAGCCCCCAAGCTGAGGTTCTCACAGCCCACCACCTGACCCACCCACTCCAAACTTTGCACCTCCCTGCATGGCCAGCCCACTCACCCCAGGGCCTTTGCACAGGCTCCACCTTCTGCCGGCCCCCCACTCTATGCATAGCTAAACTCTCCTCAACCCTCAGGTCCACAGACTTCCCCGACCACAAGTCAGGGCCAGGAGCCACCTGTCATCATGCCCAGCATCCCCTTTTGTGGCTTTCGTGACCTCAGCATCTGTTTCCCACCCTTGGCTGCCAGCCCCCAGCAAAAACCACTCGGGTTCCGTTTGCAGGTGGAGCCCTGCACGAGCCTGGTGCACTCTCACAGCAAGCCGCTGTGGAATGGAGCTCATGCTCTGCGACCCTGGGGACCAGCCACCTCTGCACCCTCTGTGCAGCCGGGAGACATCTGGTGTGCAGGGCTGTCGCGAGATGCTGAGGAGAAAACAGCAGCTACGGCGCCCCATGCTCAGGGCCCCTCTCAGCCCAGCCGCCCGCACCTGGCCTGGGCTCTGTCCAGGGCGACCCACTGCCCATTTGCCCGGGGGACATTCAGGGCACAGAGCAGGGCGTCAAGCGGCCCATTTGGTCACCAGGTGGTGCGGGCCCAGCACGGGAACCTGCTCAGCGGTGCCCGAGACCCTCTGCGGGTTTCCAAACTCAGCGTTCTCCACGGCAGAAGCCACCCCTCGCTCCAAAGTGGCACACGCCAGGTACGCTGGGCGCAGAGACCAAAAGAAAACAGGTCCCTTCTGGGAAGTCGTGCGGCGCAGAGCGGGAGGAACACACTTACTCTCCACGTGGTCCGTCTCCATGGCGACCAGAAAGGCCCACTCGTAGAAACACCTGCCCTGGTGGGCACGGGCCCCACAGGTGCGGGTGCACAGGTGGCCCAGCTGCAGGAGCACCCGGCTGAAGTCGTGGCCACACTCCCTGCTTGGCAGCCGCGAGAAGAGCTTCGCGGCCTCCTGGAGGTAGTGCTGGGCCAGCCCGCTGGCACCAGCCTGCAGGCACAGCGCCCCGAAGTTGGCCAAGACCACCGCCTGGTTCCGCAGGTGGCCCTGGCGGCGGGCAACGCGCAGGGCGCGGTAGTAGGCCTCGGCTGCCTGCCGGGTCCTGCCCGTCCTCTGCAGGGCGATGGCCGCCATGTTGGCAATCACACCCTGCTGGTCCTCGCTGGCCACCCCCGCATCCAGGACAGACTCCAGGATGTCCAGGGCCACCAGGCTCTGCCCGTGGAGCACGTGCAACCAGGCGAGGGCCACCAGGTGGTCCACGACCACGTGGCCACCGGCCTCAGCGTCAGCTTCTGCAGCCCGTGTCATGAGGGAGATGGCCCTGCCGTGCTGCCCGTGGTGGCTGTGCAGCTGGGCCAGGCTGGCGCAGAGAGGGCCATGCAGCGCATGCCCCGTGCCCAAGGCCAGCGCCCGCCTGAGGTAGTGGGCAATCTGGGCGGGGGGCCGTAGGAGCTGGGGGCTGTTCCGCAGGACAAGGTCCACGCTCCGGAGCCAGCTGCCCAGCGAGCCCCGGGCCTGCAGCGTGGCCGCCTGCACGCAGCCCAGCGCCAGGTGTGGCAGGCACTTCCGGCCGTAGGTGTCCGCCAGGAGCAGGGAGCAGGCCGTGGGCCAGGAGGCATCGGGGGACCCCAGGGCCCCGTGCAAGAGCAGCAGCCTCTCCAGGAAGGGCAGGGCCTCCTCGGGCTGCTTGAGGCGGGCATGGTGCCTGGCCAGCAGGAAGCAGGCCCGGGCCTCGGCCTGCGGGCTGCGGCCGCTGATGGCCCTGCGCAGAGCGTGCCTCAGGAGCGCGGCCTCGGCCTCGGTGCTGCAGGGCAGGCCAGGCGTGCCCAGGAGCAGGGCCGACGCCTTGGGCACCAGCTGTGCACACTTCTCCCTGTTCTTCTGCTTCAGGTGGACAGTGGCCAGGTTGACGTACACGGCCGCCACCAGGAAGAGGTCGCTGAAGCGGCCCCCCAGGGCCCCCAGGGCTTCCTCCAAGTAGACGCGGGCCTGGGACAGCTTGAGCTTCCGCAGGCACAGCCGCCCCAGGAGGAAGCAGAGCCTGGCGAGGGCCATGGGGAGGCCGGCCTTCTTGGCTGCCGCCCGGGCCTGTGCCAGGTGCCCCGCCAGCTCCTCCTCGTCGGAGAAGGCACAGAACATGCTGCTCAAGCCGGGCAGGGAGAGGTCGTACAGGCCACGGAAGCAGGCCTTGTACCCGGGCGTGTCCAGGAACAGCAACAGCGAGCTTAGCGCCTCCACGTCGGCCCAGTCGTCCCCCGCGTCCAGGTGGAAGGAGGGCTCCTTGGCATCCGGTGAGCTTGAACCACTGGATGCCGTGTGGAGACCCCAGGACTCTGGCTCCTTGGGGCGGCCCTGGCAGGACTTGCACTGTTCTAGAACAATCTTCACCTTCTGCAGGGTCTCACGTGGCTCCGGGGTGAGGCAAGGCAGAGGCATTTCTGCAAGTCACCAAAACCCCCAGATGAATTAGAGTCTGACGTGAGTCCTGGTTCAGCCTGGAGTGGGGACATCCATCCCTGAGCACTGTGCGGGTGCCACCTGCCCTCCTGGGGGCCCTGATCATCTGAATGCCAAGCACCATGCCCAGCACACGGCAGGAACTTGGTCACTATGGGTCTGGGAGAATACAGGTCAGTTTGACCAAATAACCAAGCACCCCTCCTTTCCCCATTCTTTCCCTGTGGAAGGCACAGTTTCAGGGGACCTTATGTGTCACAGCTCAGTGATCATTCTGAGATTCCTTTTCCCTTTAGAAAGAATCAAAGCCACTTAACGGGACATGTCCACGTTGACTGCTACCACCGCCTACGTCTGACCGTCAGCACCTGGCACTCTCCAGCCAGCTGCAGGATCCCATGACGTCATCAACAGCCAATCAGAGCTATTGATCAGCCTGAGCGGCAAAGCCCCCTACAGAATGGGTCAAACCAGCCGCTGAGGAGGAACATGACGCGGTGTCCATCTGCCCAGCTCTGGCCTGGGGCCCTTTCCAGGGAAATGGGAATGGTCCCCAGACTCCCGGTCTCCACCCTCCTCCTGGCCGGTTTGAGAATCTGAGGCCCACGGTTACTAAAGCGTTAAAAAAAGTGCTGGAGAATCTGGGGGCATCTGTGCTGTGCCGTCCACACTGCCTGCTTCCCGACTGTTGGCTTTGCTTGGAGTCTGTCCCCAAAAGTAGGTCCAGCCTCGAGGAGCAAACAAGCTACACTTCCTGCTGGGAAAACACGAGCCTAAAAGGAATTTGTTTGGAAGGAAAGAGCCAGGATCTGAAGCCTCTCTTGTTTCGAGTTCACATGTAAAAAAGTTCAGAACTGTCTCCTGATTAGTCTGCAAAGTCTGGGAATTAAAAACATCAGACACGGTTTAGCAGTGCATGTCCGACTTGACCCATGTCAGACCAGCTGAGGTGCCTCTCCAGGCCAGGCTGCCAGTGTCAAGCAGCCGCCTGACCCCAGGAGGAGCCTGTGCTGGGGGACTGGGCAGGGTGTGAAATTCTCGGGGTCGGGGGCAAGCCTGCAGCGTCCTTCCCTGTCCCCACCCAGCAGAGGGCCAGGGAGGGGGGAGGGCCTTGAACAGCCCTGGGGCCGGAGGCGGGTTCCAGGCCTCCTCTCCTGGCCTCCTCCCAGACATCCCAACGTGGCCTCCCCTGTTGGTGCGTAGCTGGACCCCATCCCAGGGAATCTCAAAGAGTCCTCGAGATTCTCACCCCCAGGACCTCCCCAATGCAGACCCTCTGTGGGAGGAAGAGAAGGAGGTATGAAGGGAGGAGGAGGGGCCTCCTGGAACCAGCACCCGGGGGCAGGAGCAGACCCTCCAGGGGCTTCTCCAACGTAAGGCTCCAAATTCAGCCTCCCCTGCACCAGCCTCAGCTCTCCAAAGCTGAGCATGAGGCAGAGTTCCGCTGCTTTAGGTTGCATGACGGGAACCCAAGGCCGGGCATGGGCTCGGGCAATCGAGGGGATGCCCCACTTTAGCAGGGACAGTGCAGGGCAAGGCATGGGCTCAGGTAATGGAGGGGACACCCCACCTTAGCAGGGACAGTGCAGGGCAAGGCATGGGCTCAGGTAATGGAGGGGACGCCCCACCTTAGCAGGGACAGTGCAGGGCAAGGCATGGGCTCAGGTAATGGAGGGGACGCCCCACCTTAGCAGGGACAGTGCAGGGCAAGGCATGGGCTCAGGTAATGGAGGGGACATCCCACCTTAGCAGGGACAGTGCAGGGCAAGGCATGGGCTCAGGTAATGGAGGGGACGCCCCACCTTAGCAGGGACAGTGCAGGGCAAGGCATGGGCTCAGGTAATGGAGGGGACACCCCACCTGAGCAGGGACAGTGCAGGACCAGGCGTAGGCTCAGGTAATGGAGGGGATGGCCCACCATAGCAGGGACAGTGCGGGAGGCTGGCACATTTGCTGGAGACCCACTGCTGCTGGGGAGGGGACCTTCATCTCCACTCACCCAACCTCCCCTCCCAGGTGGGCTCCCCCCAAGCCCTCCCCCCTGAAGAGTGACGCCTCGCCCAGCATCACCCCGAGGCCCAGTCCCGTGGCCAGAGGAGCCCGCCTGTGTCAGGGAACCTACCGTGTTCTTCTGGCTGCTCAAACTCAGCTTCTTCTAATTGGTCTGAAAAGAGGGAGATGAAAGGCATCACCCTTGGCCAGTGCCCTCTGCGGCCGGGCCGAGTGGGCAGTGAAGGTCTGGGAAGCCGCGTCTGCCGGGGTCTGCTCCACCCTCCCGCCTCCAGGTCAGACTCCTTCCTCCCACAAGAGGGTCGGCTTCTGCTGCTACCCCCCTGGGGACAGGGACATGCTCCCGCGGGTGCTTTGCACTGCAGCCCTCAGAGAGCTCCTTCCTGAGTTCAGGGGTGTTGAGGTGAAAAGGGAACAGCATCGTCTTTAGGAGGTAGCAGCCCTGGGGGCCAGCCCTGGCCCCCTAGTGGCCAGGCAACCCAGGCCAGATCACAGCTGCAGGGGCCCGGGGTCCTCGTCTTTGACGGGGAGAAATGTCACTCTTACCCAGGCTGTCACAATGGGCATTGGGCCAGGCCGGAGCAGGCCCCACCCGTGCTGATTGACACAGAACCAGGACCACTAGCTCCACCCCGCCACCACTCCGGCCGAGCAGATGGTCTTAGGCTGGTGCCTGGAGTCGGTGCTAAGACCCCATCCTCAGATAGCAGGGAGGCTTGGGGCCACTTTCTGAGTCTCCCTGGCCCCTTGCCTACTCCTCTCGCTGTGTCTGGCCTGTCTGCACCCCCTCCATGCCCCGGACGCAGCGACAGCATCTGTCAGAGGACCTTCAAGTGCCCAGTGGCCGGCATTCACTACTGTCGACTGATGGAGGAAGCAAAGCGTTCCCAAAGGGAAAGGGCGGCTGCTGTGCATGGTGGATGGAAGCCAAAACTAGTCCACGTCCCACTGACCAGGCAGCAAAAACTCGCAGAAGCCCATGTGGGTGAGGCCGACTGAGGCAGCGGCCTCATGGAGTCGATGGAATAGCAGTGGGTTCACCCCACAGGAAAGCAGCTGGCTCCAAACCTTTCGTCGTCCTCCAGGACTCTGCCCAACAACCTGTCCTGAACAATCGGCTGAGGATGCGATCAGCCACAGGTCCTGGGATGCCCCACAGCCGGCGCAAGGGCCTCCCACCCACCCACAGCACCCCACACCTACCCAAGCTGTACACAGTGCACACGTCCGTGCTGGACGTCTTGCCCAGCAACTGCCTGGCGTCCTCCTCTGAAAAGTGCCCTTCGTTGTTGAAGAATGACCTTTCTTCCTCATTGAGAAAAATCGCATCTTCCAACCTGGAAAGATAAAGTGCATTATTTAAGATGGCTTGTTTCCAGGGCAAATAATTCACAGTCAGACCATTTCCCTTCCCTCGTTTGACAGACAGTCCCTGTGCACACACTCTGTACCCAGAAACGAAAACACCAAGATAACAAATAAAACACCAGACCCTGCCCCCAAGGAGGCCTCGTCTGGCCAAAGGCAGATGCCCAGGAGCGGGAGAGGTTGTGACAGACTCAGCGGGTCACAGCAGCCTGGGAGGATGAGCTCCTGGGTGGGCTGCAAAGCCCCACCTCGTATGTCCCTTCCCATGTGAGGCTGGCTGTGGCAGCTGCAGGCAGAATCGATCCCACGACACGGTAAGATCCCGTTTCCTCATACAACCTCTGCTTCCCCCGGCGCCCAACAGGAACACAGGGCCCCCACCTGCTCCATACAGTGAGGGAGAGGGGAAACAGGCAGGGTCAGTGGGGAAGAGGGAGGGAGGGAGGGAGGGGGCAAATTTCGCTCACAGGACTAAGTCACCAGCATAACAGGGAACTTTGAAACGTACTTTGGAACTTAGAGGAGCTATTTTGAGAAGTTAAAGAAAATCTTAGAGCAGCTTGTGGCATTCAACATTCTAGAAAACAACAGACCAGTCTTCTTCAAAAATGTCAGTGTCAGAAAAAACAGAGACTGAGGAACTGTTTCAGATTAAGGAGACAAAACTAAAGAAACTGGTAACATGGTCTGGACTTTTCTTTGGCTGTCGAGGGCATCACTGGGGCCCCGGCAAAATCTGAGAAAGGTCTGCAGACCACAACACCGTGTCGATGTCAATTTCCTGATTTTGACAGGTGTGCTGTGGTCGTGCAAGTGGACATCCTGGTTTTAGGAAACACACAGTGCGTTATTTAGGGGTAAAAGGGCATGATGTTTGCAACTTACAGTCAAAGGGTTTAGAAAAAAATAGAAGTCAAAGAGAAAAAAGGAGAAACCAAATGTCACAACATGCAAACATTGGGGCAATCTGAGTGAAGGATATACAGGAACTCTAGGCTCTTCTTGCAAATTTTCCTACATCTGAAATTATGTCAAAATACAGTTAAAGAAAAAAGAATAGCCAGCAGGTTGTTCATTAAACAAAAGACGAAGACCCAGGGTCTAAAAGAGGAAAGATGTTGAGGAAACGTTTGTTGAGTGAACGCGGGAAGCCGTTAGGGCTTCCCCAGCTGTCAGCAGGATCAGTGGCACTGGGCCCTGTCACCCTTCTGGGTTAAGGGAGGGGAACAGACTAGCTCAACCCACAGCAACTCCAGCTCAGACCCTTGGTGATTTCAAGACATATTTAAGTCACATGGGCCCCAGCCATCTGCCGAGAAGTGGTGATCTCCCTGGAGATGGAGGAATTGCCTAGACCGAGGATCCCCCAAGAGGGTTCCACAGAACACCAGCTAATAGGGTTGTGTGAAAAAAGGATTCTGGAGGTCGAGTAAGTGTGGAAACACATTTCAAGGGGAAAAAAAGATGTTTTAGACGTCAGATGCCTTCTTGGCACTGGGATCCCTGTGGACCACCAACTAGGGCACATGGAGAGCACTTCTCCACCCACGTGAGCATGATGAAGTTTGTGACAGAGGTTGGGAGGGAACACACTTTGGGAAACCCTGGCCTAACTGCCACTCTCAGCATCCAGGCCTAGCCAGCCTTAAACTGCGAACAGGTGCAAGGGGCACCGGCAGAGACACTTAAACGAGGGAACAAAATGACCGCTGGACGCGTCACGAGGCCAAAGCGGCCTCTGAGATGTGGTCTGGAAAGCGCTGGTCTGTTGCAGCGCCAGCCAAGAACGAGGCAGGATGTCAATGCCGGAGAGGCCCCTGGGGACGAGCGCTTCACACTCGTGGGCGGGAGCTGGCCCAGTAAAGGGTCCGTTCTACACACTGACGTTCTCCAGGCTCCTTGATTGAGGTCCTACCAACGGAGGGTCCAGAACACAGCTGTGCTCGCTGGCCACTCTCCCAAGACCGCCTGCTGCTGCCCAGGGCTGGGCAGTGGGGACACGGCGGTGCCCAGACAGCCCTCCCTCAGCATTCCGCCGATGGGACAGGAGCAGGCATGTCATCAGCGGGTGGGGGGGGGGGTCACACGGGGAGAGGACCAGGGCCAGGGAGAGCATCACTGGGGATGAGCTGCTGGAGACGGGACTCAGGGGCCAGTGAGAGTCCCTAGGAAAACGGGCCAGCGGGATGGAGGACATCTCATGCAGCGGGCGCACACGTCAACCCAGAGGCATTCTAGAAGCATAGAGCCAACCCACATATCTGGACTTACACAGTGAACTGACAGCTAGTGGTGGCCCTTGAAATCGGGGGTCACCAGGGCCTGAGTTGTGGGGGGGCCTTGAAGGCCAGGCCCGGAAGCTTTGAAGGAATTTATCAAGGGGAGTGGCATGGTATACTGGGTAGAATAGTGTCCCCCAAAACTCGTGTCCACCTGGGACCTCAGAAGGTAATCTTGTTCAAAAAGGGGCCTTTGCAACCCAGAGATCCCGTGGGCGTGGTCGGGGGCTGGGTGGAGCTCCAGCAACCCAGCTCCATGGCCCAGGGGAAAACTCCAGTGTCCTGCACTGGCAGCAGGGAAAGCCTCTACTCGCCATTAGTGGAGAGGCCCCGCCCAGCATTCAGAATGCCAGGAGGGTCCCGAAGAGGAGAATCCCGGGCAGGGCAGCAGCCCGCCAGCCGCCACTGGACTCACGGACTCCGGCTGTGTCCCAGAGCAGACAAGGGGCTCCCAGAGATCCCAGGGGAGAGGACTGGGGCTTGGTGGAGCTCCAGCAGCCCGGCTCCGTGGCCCAGGGGGAAACTCTACAGTCTCACAGCAGCCTCAGCGAAGCCTCTGCACAGCACTAGTGGAGAGGCCCCGCCTAGCAACCACAAAGCTGGAAGGCCCTGGGGCAAAAGTAGCCCAGCTAGGTGAGCTAACCACAGACTGCAGAAGATACCGATAGCTCTGCTGTGACCTATAGTGGACAAGGGAGATCTTGTGGGCTCTGACAGTGACAGAGCTGTGAATATAGGTGATCCCGCTCCCAGCTGCTGGGAAAGCCCGTAACACTGCTGCAGACCCCAAGGAGGGAGCACGTCTAGGTGGTCTGCAACACTAGGCACCAGTAGCCTGAAGCCCCCTTGCGATTGCCCCCACAGCTGACGAGGGACCCCACAGGACCACTGTGACTACGAGGAGGGGCCCAGGTCCAGTTAGCAACAGCTGACAGGGTTCCTGGTTGGTGCAGTCTAAACAGCTGCTCCCTCCCCCACACCAGTAGAAACAAGTGGAAGCAGTAACCAAACTCTATCTCTATGTGGAGGCACAAATCCATGCCATCAAGCAGTATGAAAAAATATATCAAATCTCCAGAACAGAAGGAAAATGACAAGTACCCAGAAAACAATCCCAAAGACAATGAAATCTATAACCTAAATGATGATGAATTCAAAACAGCCATTATTAAAAAACTCAACGAATTAAAAGAGAATACAGATAGACAACTCAACGAGTTCAGGAGAAATGTCACAAAAGAGCTTGATACTATAAAGAAGAACCAATCAGAAATACTGGAGATGAAGAACACAATGGAGGAGATTAAGAAAAATCTGGACTCTCTGAACAGTAGGGTCGATAATATGGAGGACAGAATTAGCAATTTGGAGGATAGGAATATAGAAATGCTGCAGACAGAGGAGGGGAGAGAACTAAGACTAAAAAGAAATGAAGAAACTCTCCGAGAATTATCCGACTCAATTAGGAGATGCAACATAAGGATTATAGGTATACCAGAGGGAGAAGAGAAGGAGAAGGGGGCAGAAAGCCTGTTCAAAGAAATAATGGCTGAGAATTTTCCAAACCTGGGGAGAGAGATGGAACTTCATGTGACAGAAGCCAATACATCTCCAAACTTTATCAATGTAAGAAGACAAACCCCAAGGCATACAGTAGTGAAGCTAGCAAAAGTCAACGACAAAGAGAAAATACTAAGGGCAGCCAGGCAGAAGAAAATAACCTACAAAGGAACCCCCATAAGGCTATCAGCAGATTTCTCAGCAGATACCTTACAGGCTAGAAGAGAGTGGAATGATATATTCAAAATTCTGAAGGACAAAAACCTGCAGCCAATACTCCACCCAGCAAAAATAACCTTCAAATATGATGGAGAAATAAAAACTTTCCCAGATAAACAAAAGTTAAGGGAGTTCATTGCCACAAGACCTCCTCTTCAAGAAATGCTCAGGAAAACCCTCATTCCTGAAAAATCAAAAAAAGGAAAGGGGTTACAAAACCCAGAGCAAAGGAGATAAGTAGAAGGACAATAACAGACAGTAGCAGCTCTACATCAGAACAGGTTAGCAAAAGTTAAATATAACCTTAAAGATAAAAGGAAGGGAAACACCAAGAATAAATATAACCCTGTCATTTTAACCACAAACTCACAACACAAGAAAAAAGAGAAAAAAAAATCTGACAACAGCAACCTAGAAGGGGAAGAGAAAAGGGATGGAACATTTTAATTTAAGGAAATAAGAGGCTATCAGAAAATGGACTATCTCATCTATGACACGTTTTATACAAACCACCTGGTAACCACTAAACAAATAACAAGAATAAAGACACAAATTACAAGTAAGAAGAAAGCCAATACAGAAATTTACATACCTGAATTAGGAATCCAAAAATCATGGGACGAGAAACAAAGGAAATGCAAGAGAATAGAAAACAAGCAATAAAATGGCAGTGGTAGGCTCCCACATTTCAATAATCATTCTAAATGTAAATGGATTGAACTCTCCAATCAAAAGACACAGAGTGGCAGGATGGATCAAAGAACAAGACCCAACAATATGCTGCCTCCAGGAAATACACCTCAGCCGCAAAGACAAACACAGACTCAGAGTGAAGGGATGGAAGACAATACTCCAAGATAATAATGAACAAAAGAAAGCAGGTGTCGCTATACTAATATCAGACAAAGTAGACTTCAAAGTAAAACAGATAAAGAAAGACAAAGAGGGGCAGTATATAATGATAAAAGGGACACTCCACCAAGATGACATAAGACTTATAAATATATACGCACCCAACACAGGAGCACCAAAATTTGTAAAGCAACTCTTAACAAAACTAAAAGGAGACATCAACAACAATACAATAATAATAGGGGACCTCAACACCCCATTAACAGCAATGGATAGCTCATCCAGACAGAAAATCAGCAAGGAAATTATAGAATGAAATGAAAAATTAGACCAGATGGACTTAATAGATATATAGAGAACACTTCATCCAAAAACAGCAGGTTACACATTCTTCTCAAGTACACACGGAACATTCTCAAGGATAGACCATATCTTGGGAAACAAAGCAAGCATCAATAAATTCAAGACGGTTGAAATAATATCAAGCATCTTTTCTGATCATAATGCTATGAAACTAGAAATAAACTACAAGAATAAAGCTGGGAAAGGGGCAAAAATGTGGAGACTAAATAACATGCTACTGAACAAACAATGGATTATTGAAGAAATTAAAGAAGAAATCAAATATTACCTGGAGACAAATGAAAATGAAAACACACCATACCAACTCATTTGGGAGGCAGCAAAAGCAGTCCTAAGAGGGAAATTCATTGCAATACAGGCTCCCCTCAATAAACAAGAAAAATGTCAGATAAGCAAGCTCAAACAACACCTAACAGAATTAGAAAAAGAAGAACAAACAAAGCCCAAAGTCAGTAGAAGGAGGGAAATAATAAAAATTAGAGCAGAAATAAACGATATTGAAACAAAAAAGACAGTAGAAAGGATCGATGAAACAAAGAGTTGGTTCTTCAAAAAAATTAACAAAATCAACAAACCCTTAGCCAGACTCACTAAAAAAAAGAGAGAAGTCTCAAATAAATAAAATTAGAAATGAGAGAGGAGAAATCACAATGGATACTAAAGAAATACAAGGGATCATAAGAGAATACTATGAAAAACTATATGCCAACAAATTGAACAACCTAGAAGAAATGGATAAATTCCTAGACTCTTACAACCTCCCCAAACTGAATCAGGAAGAAATAGAGAATCCGAATAGACCAATCACAAGTAAAGAAATAGAAACAGTAATCAAAAACCTCCCAGGACCAGATGGCTTCTCTGGAGAATTCTACCAAACATTCAAAGAAGATTTAATACCTATCCTCCTCAAACTATTTCAGAAAATAGAGGAAGATGGAGCACTCCCTAACACATTCTATGAAGCCAACATCACCCTGATCCCCAAACCTGACAAGCACAACACAAAGAAGGAAACTACAGGCCACTATCACTGATGAACATAGATGCAAAAATCCTCAACAGAATTCTGGCAAACCGAATACAGCAATACATCAAAAAGATTATACACCATGATCAAGTGGGATTTATACCAGGGACACAGGGATGGTTCAACATCCGCAAGTCAATCAACATGATACACTACATCAACAAAATGAGAAACAAAAACCACATGATCATCTCAATAGATGCAGAGAAAGCATTTGACAAGATCCAGCATCCATTTATGATAAAAACCCTCAATAAAATGGGTATAGAAGGAAAGTACCTCAACATAATAAAGGCCATATATGACAAGCCCACAGCCAACATCATACTCAACAGACGAAAGCTGAAAGCCGTCCCTCTGAGAACAGAACAAGACAAGGGTGCCCACTTTCACCACTCTTATTCAACATAGAACTGGAGGTGTTGGCCAAAGCAATTCGGCAGGAAAAAGAAATAAAACAAATCCAAACAGGCAATGAAGAAGTAAAACTCTCACTGTTTGCAGACGACATGATCCTATATATAGAAAACTCCAAAGAATCCATAGGAAAACTATTAGAAACAATCAACAGCTACAGCAAAGTTGCAGGGTATAAAATCAACATACATAAATCAGTAGCATTTCTATATGCTAACAATGAACTAACAGAAAAAGATCTCAAGAACTCAATCCCATTCACGATCACAACAAAAAGAATAAAATACCCTGGGGTAAATTTAACCAAGGAAGTGAAAGATTTATACAATGAAAACTACAAGATTTTCTTGAAAGAAATTGATGACGACAAAGGAGATGGAAAGACATTCCATGTACATGGATTGGAAGAATAAACATAGTTAAAATGTCCGTACTACCTAAAGCAATCTACAGATTCAACGCCATCCCAATCAGAATCCCAATGACATTCTTTACAGAAATTGAACAAAGAATCCTAAAATTCATATGGGGCAACAAAAGACCCCGAATTGCTAAAGCAATCCTGAGAAAAAAGAACAAAACGGGAGGCATCACAATCCCTGACTTCAAAACATACTACAAAGCTACAGTAATCAAAACAGCATGGTACTGGTACAAAAACAGGTGCACAGATCAATGGAACAGAATTGAAAGCCCAGAAATAAAACCACACATCTGTGGACAGCTTATCTTCGACAAAGGAGCTGAGGGCATACAGTGGAGAAAAGAAAGTCTCTTCAACAAATAGTGCTGGGAAAACTGGACAGCCACATGCAAAAGATTGAAAATTGACCAGTCTTTTTCACCATTCACAAAAATAAACTCAAAATGGATCAAAGACCTAAAGATTAGGCCTGAAACAATAAGTCTTCTAGAAGAGAATATAGGCAGTACCCTCTTTGACATCAGTTTCAAAAGAATCTTCTGACACCATAACTCCTCAGATGAGGGAAACAATAGAAAGAATAAACAAATGGGACTTCATCAGACTAAAGAGCTTCTTCAAGGCAAGGGAAAACAGGATTGAAACAAAAAAACAGCCCACTAATTGGGAAAAAATATTTACAAGCTACTTATCCAACAAAGGGTTAATCTCCATAATATATAAAGAACTCACACAGCTCAACAACAAAAAATCAAACAACCTGATCAAAAAACAGTCAGGGGACATAAACAGACATTTCCCCAAAGAAGATATAAGGATGGCCAGTAGACACATGAAAAGATGCTCATCATCCCTAATCATCAGGGAAATGCAAATCAAAACTACACTAAGATATCACCTTACACCTGTTAGAATGGCAAAAATAACCAAAACAAAAAGTGACAAATGTTGGAGAGGTTGTGGAGAAAAAGGAACCCTCATACACTGTTGGTGGGAATGCAAACTGGTGCAGCCACTATGGAAAACAGTATGGAGATTTCTCAAAAAGTTAAAAATAGAAATACCTTATGACCCAGCCATCCCACTACTGGGTATCTATCCTAAGAAACTGAAATCAGCAATTCCAGAAGTTCCATGCACCCCTATGTTCATCGCAGCATTATTTACAATAGCCAAGATGTGGAACCAACCTAAGTGCCCAGAGACTGATGATTGGATAAAGAAGATATGGTATATATACACAATGGAATACTACTCAGGCATAAAAAAGGACAAAGTTGTCTCATTCACAACAAGATGCATGGACCTTGAGGGTATTATGTTAAGTGAAATAAGCCAGACAGAGAAAGATGAACTCTGTGTGACTCCACTCATAGGTGGAAGTTAACATAGACAAAGAGAACTGATTGGTGGTTACCAGGGGAAAGGGGGGTGGGGGAGGGCACAAAGGGTGAAGTGGTGTACCCACAACATGACTAACAATAATGTACAACTGAAATTTCACAAGGTTGTAAACTATCATAATCTTAATAAAAAATTTTTTTTTTAAAAAAAGGGCCCTTTGCAGATGTAATTAGTTAAGTTAAGATGAAGTCCTACTGAAGCCCTAAACCCAACAACTGGTGTCTCTGTAGGAAGGGGGGGGACACGCAGACCCACAGGGAGAAGGCCGTCTGAAGATGGAGGCAGAGACTGGGGACACAGCCCTAAGCCCAGCAGCGCCTGGAGCCCCCCAGAAACCGAAGAGACAAGGAAGGCCCCTCCCCTAGAGCCTGGAGGGAGCTCGGCCTTATTGACGCCTTGATTTTGCACTTCCGGCCTCCAGACTGTGAGAGAGCACACGTCTGTAGTTTGAAGCCCCAGGGCATGGTGCCTTGTCACAGCTGCCCCAGGACACTGGTGCACACGGACCACTTGGTATTTCTGAGAACAACCACTGGCCGTACTTGGAGGAAGGACAGGAGCAGTCCAGATGCGAAGCTGAAGTCGGGCCTTGGGAGAAGGGGATGGCAGCCCAGGCCGGGCCCAGCCCTGGGGACAGACGTGGGAGCACACTCACTGATGACGAGGAGGACGGGTGGGGGAACCCGTTAGGACAACGTCCAGGTTTGTCACCGGGAATCTGGGGATGGGCAGGGTTCCACGGGGGCGGAGAGGCGGGCTCTAGAAAGGGGGGGCCTCAGCCACTCACTCAGACACTTGGCCCTGCACGCTGATGAGACTCGTCCGCACAAACCCGACCTGGCCCGAGGCCACGTGCCGGCCCACACACCAAGGCAGGCCAGGCACCTGGGCGCCGAGGATCTCGATGAGGTCACCGCCTTGGAAGGTCATCTCTTCAGGCCCTGAGCCCTGGCAGTCAGTGACCGCCGAGGCCAGGCCCGTGGCTGCAGGAAGGAGGTCACATGGTCAGTGCTGGGGGTTGGGGGCCGGGGTGGGCAGACGGATGGCCCTCAGCCACATGGTTAGTGTCCCTGGCCAGGGACGGTCCTGCTAAGGACTTCGTCTCGTGTCTGTCGGGTTGCAATGAAGCTTGGCCCCCAACACGAGAGGCTGGACGTCTACGTGGTCCTCGGAGGGGGCGCTTTATCCTTATGCTGAGGATGAAAAACCGAGGCCCAGAGATGTTAATTAACCTGGTCTAGGGCCATTGGCTTTCAAGGCCGGGCTCTTTCCTCCAGCCGACCCAGGCGAGGCCCAGTCAGAGCCCACCAGGGCGAATGCAGCTGTAAGCTGAACTCCCCCATCCCTCCTCCCATGGGGCCTCAAGTCCTTTAACAGGTACACAAGGTCATCCCAACACTAGCCAGCCTGGGGCAGAGCAAAAAGCACGGGCCCGGGAACCTAAGCTGTCTATGCCTCACGGTGGCCCATTAGTGCACGCAGCGCATTCAGCCGGAGCCTAGCTCCCCGGGCCAGGGGTCCTCCAAGGTGCTTAAAGTGGTGCCGGAAAGAGCGTGGAGACTGAGGAAGCGCCTGTCGACGGTCTGTGGGAGCTGCACCAGGGAGCTCTTTGAGGCTGAGTGACCAGGCACCCAGGTCCGGCTTCACTGTGCGCTGTGTGAGTTTAGACCAGCCAACAGACCTCTCTGAGCCTCACTTACCAACTCACAAACTGGAGACGATTCTAGCTCCTTCCTCCAGCTTGGGGAGGAATTGAGGTGAGCGCAGAAACTTCCAGAATATTGGTGCCTGCCCCTCCTCACCCACCTCTTTCCCAGGGGAGGAAGGCCAGTGGAAACACGTACCCATCAGCTGGGCGTCCGGCGCCACAGGTCCACCCAAGGAGTCATCGATGGGGTCCCAGGGGACCCTAAGAGCCCACCTGGAGTGGAATGAGGCAGGATTTCAGATTTGGGGCCGATTGAAACTGTGTGTAGACTGGACGAGCCAGCAGCACCCAGGGACCCCTGCGGATTCCAACATCTATCCCCACTACACACACATACACAGACGCACACACCTGCCCAGCTGTGCAGGCTTCAAGCTCAGGTGTGTGGCCCTGCCTCCAGGGAGCCCCATGCCCCCAGCCCGGGTGCCTCTGCCCTTCCTCAGGCTGGCATCCCTGGGGACCTCCCTCCATCAGCCAGGCAGAGAAGCTGAGGCACGGGCTGGTTATTCCACAGACACTGCACATCAGGAGATCAAGTTTCTCTCTTTGCTCTGACTACCAGGAAGCTCTAAGCCAGGTTTACGCCTCATGCTCAGCACGTGAGCAGGAGCTTAGGTGTCACCTGTCCTCGCCTCCCCAGGCTTTCTCGCCTTGGTTATCTGTACAGATTCCTGTCTGCCTCCTCGCTATGGGCACACACATTACGTAGCTTCCTCGAAAGCTTTCCAGAATAAGCCAGAATACGAAGCAAGAGCTGCATGTCGCACACTCCTGTGCCGTGTCATGCCAGGACAGCCCTGCCGGGAGAGGTCAGGGTCCTGCCGTGCCAGGGGCAGTCCTGAGGCCCAGAGAGTTGGCCCGACTTGCAAAGGCCACACGCTGGGCAGCAGCAGAAGATACTGTGGCCGGGTCTGTCTGCGGCTCCATCCACCTCCCTTGGCCGAGGGACGGACCAGGGTCGGTGGGGCTGGGGGCTTGGTCTCTGAGAAGCCTGACAGTGTGCAGGACACGCAGGAAGCAGAGAAACAAAAGGAAGGTCGGTACCTACTGATGAAATGGAATCAAAGTTTCCGGAGTGGCCGTGGCTGCTGCCTCCTCGGAGGACGTGCTGGGGCTGGCGGCTGACGAGCCCACTGCCGGGACGGCCTCTCCCTGCAGAGCCCCCGAAGTCCGCCTGAGGGGCTGAGGGCCCCTCCCTGTACCCCAGGGGCCAGTTGTCGCTCTCACGTGGCGGTCAGGACACAGGACAAAGAAAGGCCCTTTGAAGAGACAGAGCATGGTCACCTGGCATGGCTGGACACAGGGCAGCTGTAGCTTTGCCAGGTGGGACCTGCCCATCCCCCAGCAGGAGGCACACGTGATGGCGGCCTCTGCAGGAATCTCCCCACGCCAGGCTCGTCCCCCACAGACACTGGAGGCCCAGGGGGCCCAGACTGGCTGGACCTGGGCTGGGTCCCTGCTCTGGCCGGGCTTGCCCTGTGAGCCTCATTCAGCCTCAGATTCTCGGGGCCTCAGTTTCGCCATCTGAGCTCTGAGGGGATCCCAATGGCCCTTTCTGTCTGGACCTCCTCGGGCGTGTCTTTCCATAGCCGGCTGCCTCTTCCTCTCCGTGGCCAGGCCAGGACAGGGGCTCTGTGCTGTCTGCTGCAGGCTTGGAGCCCAGCCATGTGGCTACCATGGTGCTCTGACCAACAGCTGAGTTCAATTACTTCTTTGGGGGCTGACCAGGGTCTTTACAAGTAAGGGACAGGGCCCGGCATTTACTGTCGGCGTCACCCACGTACCCCTCCCTGCCCAAAGCCCACTCAGGTCTCATGTGCCCACCCACGGCCTGGACACCCCGCATAGCGTGCAGCTGGCCAGTGTCCCGCCAGCTGCCTGGCACTCACCGTCCTGCAGGAGCAGGCTCTCGTGCGTCAGCTTCAGGGCCGCCTCGTCCACGTGGACCTGGACGGCTGTCTCCTCGTCCTCAGTGGGCGAGAGCAGCCAGAAGGCCTGGTCCACCAGCAAGTTTTCCAGGCAGTGATGGGTGAAGCCTGGGGGAGCCAGACGGGCCGTGGTCACCAGCGGGCTCCCGAAGCAAGGTAGGGAAGCTCTCTTGGCCAGGCATTGGCTAAACCCCACACTGACCAGGCACAAGGACACTCCTCGCCCTGCCCCTGGGGACTCAGGGTACTGTCCACAACCTGGGCAGGCCTCCTGTCTGACCATCCAGGCAGGGAGTGGACCAGCCATGACCGTGACAACTGTTTTGACCTCCCCGGGCCTTGGGAAGGTAGGGTGAAGACAAGTTACTTCCTCTAGGACTCTCAGTTTCCTCGTCCGTGAGATGGGATAAGAGCATTCAAGGAGATTATGCACGCTGTGTGGTGGCACAGACCCTGATCAAGGGGTGTAAGACATTGTTGCTATGATCCTCACTTTCCGCTTCCTTGGGCCTCACACTGGAGCTGGTGGGGCAAGCTTCCCAAGGAGACGCAGGTGGCCCCTGCGAGTGCCTCCCCGCGGAACGGGAAGGTTTCAGAAAGAATGCGCTTGGGTTGAGGTTGGAGTAAGTTTCCTGGTCTGTGCTCGGCCGGTGGAGCTCAGGCTCCCTTGAGGGCTGGCCACGCAAGTCCGCGACACAGCGTTGGAAGGAAGTTAGAAACTAGGCCCAGTCCCTGCTCACGGCACAGACCGTGAGTGCCTGTAGCCCTGCCCGCACCGTGCCCTGTCTCCCTGAGCCGTGGGCACACTAGCCCCCAGGTTCTGTGGGAGAGGCCGACTCGAGCTAGCTTACTCTGAGGCCCTCGCAACCTGTGCTGGGAGGGTCACCACTTTACCGAGAGCATGGTAGGTGGAAAACTTCCAGATTTCTTCGAAAGTCTTAAATGTCACCACAATCCGATCCTGGTCACTGTGGATAGACAGCAGCCTGGCCGATAGCTCCTTATGGGGAAGAAACAGAAGTTAGAAACAGTCCCAGCAGCTTTGGGGCATCTGACCACCCAGAGGACGGGGCCACACGACAGAAACATCTTGCAGAAGTGACCCTGGTGGGGTGGCAAGCACAGAGCCGATTCCTTTACAGCCCAGGCTGCCGCTCTCCTGCTCTCAAGCCAGCTGTGGCTCCCCAGTGCCTGGAGCAAGCCCCGCTCTCTCCCAGAGTTCCTACGGCCTCCACACTCTGGCCCGGTGCCCTCTGTGATTCCTCCAACTGCTCCGCCTGCCTCAGCTCCTACCGACCAGGGACAGCGGGTCCTCCCGCTTAGGCTGCCCTCTCAGCCCTGCGCACCCCAACCTCGCCTCGGGGCCCTCCTGCAGCATCCACTCAGCTTTCAGTTCTAACTTCAGCATCCCCTCTCCTCTGACATTCCTCCCGTGAACACTCCTGGTGGTGACGGGGCACTAAAGATAACACCAGCTGACCCTGGAGCCCTTGGGTACAGCTGTCGTCTCCATTTGAAGGGTTAAAGAATAAGGCCCCGTTTCTCATCTGAGGTCTGACCCTCAGCGGGTGGCACAGCGGGATTCTGCCATGGGGGCAGCACGTTTAACCACAGCACTCCTGCCTGGTGTAGTAAAAGGCACCCCCACAGCTGGGCACCGTGCTCGATGCATGCTATTCGCAGGACCCTCACATGATATGGGGTGATCATTCTAAGCGTCCCCAACATGCAGCTGAGGAAGCTGGGCTCACAGAGGCTGAGTGCATTGGCCAAGGTCAGGCCAGGTTGACTGCAAGGTCAGATAGTGACCATCCAGCCCGAAGGCCCAGGACCTCTGCCGCAGTGAAGTCACCCGGCCCAGCCCCCTCCTCCACCACCCTCCTGCCAGACCGTCGCTCTGTGCAGAGTCCAGCAGGGGTGTGACTCCATCAGAATCAAAGAATAAGATCAGCTCATACAGTTCTTTTTAGCCCCCGTAAAGGAGACTTTAAAAGTCCTAGGAGGGTGGAAGGCACACGGAGAAAGGGATGGGGGTACATTGGGAACATGGTGCCCAGGTGTGGCTGGGGCTGTAGGGTGTGATCAGTGGTCCCTGGAGTGAGGCATCCAGGACAGCAGATGGGGGACAGGTCACAGTGCCACCATGAGGCGAGGTCAGAGGACAGCTTTGGCCCCTAGAGGCCTGTACATCAGGGACCCCCCCCTACCCCCCGGGTCCTCCCACCTCCCGAAGTCCTCCTCTGTTCCGCTTGTCAAGGGAGGAGCCCCAGCACCTTCACTCACCCAGGCTCTTCCCACCCCCCTCCCCAGGATCCCCAGAGAGACAGGCTCACCCCAAGGACGCGGGCCACCTCCCGGCTGTCATTCTCCAGCAGGCGGAGCCGGCCCCGCAGGGTCTGCTGCAGGCTGGGGTCGGGCAGCCCGCTCTTCCTCCGCACGGCCAGCAGCTGCAAGGTCAGGTCTGGGAGGGGCGGATCGAGGTGGGGCGGTTTGCCCGGCCCAGGCCACAAGATCTGAGGGGTACTGTCCCTTCTCCATGAGCCCCCACCCACAGCCATAACGCCAGAGCCCTGGGGTGCTGGGCTCGGGGTCCCCCTCCTGTGGGGGCAGGGCCCATGGCAGAGCAGTATAGAGACTTCTGGGATCTGGAATCAGGCCCACTCCCCCAGCCGGAAGCTCAGCTGGCCAGTATTTCACAACCAGCTCTGAGATGTGACCCTCCCACTCCCGTAAGAGGGTGGGGTCGCATGGCCCAACCCAAAAACCTGCCACATTTCTCAATGCATCCTGGTCATCCCAAGTGACCACAGGCAGCGCTGACCACCCGAGAGGAAGGTGGAGGACAGATGGGCATCGAGACAAAGGTGGACTGCCAACAACACTGGGGTCTCTGTGCCCCCCAAGCTGAGTGTCAGGTGGGGGGCCTCCAGGGTGGAGGGCTTCTTAGGGCCTCTGGAGCCTGGATGCTGCCCCCAGGGCCCAGGGCTGCCTCCGCCATCCACACCCCGTGGAAATCCCCCCTATCCTCAGAGCCCCCTCCCAGAAGCCAGCCCTGATGCCTCTCCCGAGGTCCCTGCCCCTCCCTCTGAGCCCCCACAGCACAGGGGCTCTTTGGTCTAGTTTCACCACATCCCACCTGGGACCCCTCCCCAGAGTGTCACTCGTGGGGTCTCCCTTCCCCTGCAGGTAGCCTCCAGGGCCATGTCCCCTCTTTGGGCTGGGCAAACACAGAGTCCAGGGGGGCCCTTTGCAACTGCAGGAACCCCGGCCTTCCAGCCCTGAGAGTCCTGGGCCCAGCCCAGACCGGCTGAGTCAGAACCTGGGTGCAAGACCCGGGCACCTGCATTTAACAAGCCCCTCCCCACCCCCACAGTGATCTCAAGGCAGGAAGTCTGGAGGTCACACTCCGAGAAGCCCTGGGCTAGGCATTCCTAAACTCAAAGTCCGTGGGACAGTCGAGGCTGGAGGGAACAGGGGATGCCGGGGACCCTACGTTCACATCCCCAGGCCAGATTTAACCCGGCCGCTCGACGTAGCGCCCACGGATGCTCCCCGAAGCCTACCTGTGGGGTATGCTCCCATCCGGCCAGGAGGGGTCCTGGCAGCCGTCGGAGAGATGCCGGGATGAGGAGCGCCTTCTGGAACAGAGTAGGATTGTGTGATGGTGAAAGGAGCAACTCTCAGCTATGCAGGCCCCAGACCCCCAGCAATTTCTGGCAGAAAAGAGTTGTGTCCACACCCCTGCCAACCACCGTCACAGAAGCCCAACAAGGAGGGAGGTCTGGGGGTTCCCTATTGTGCTGCAACAGTCACCCCGAGCTTCGTGGCTTCCGCGAACAGCCCGAGTGTTTCCTCCCGCTGTTCTGGAGTTGGAGAAGGGGCTCGCCGGCTAAAGTCAAGGTGTCGCAGGGCCGGTTCCTTCTGGAGGTCCCAGGGGAGAATCTGTTCCCTTGCCTTTTCCAGCTTCTAGAGGTGCCCACACTCCATGGCTCGTAGCCTTTCCTCCATCTTCAAAGCCAGCAGCGCAGCATCTTCAGTCTCTGATTCTGACCCCAGGATGATCCCTTCATCTCAAGATCCTTACCTTAACCCCATCTGCAAAGTCTCTGTTGCCGTGGGAGGTCACACAGCATGCACAGGTTCTGGCATGGAGACATGCAGTTCTCTGGGGGCCATCATTCTGCTGACCACAGCAGGGAGGTGACAGCCCAGGGGGAATTTGTGGTCTGGGGCAGACAGAGCTGTATCCAGATCCTGCTGCACCAGTCACTCGCTGGGGGCGACATGTGCCCTCTAGGCCCTTTGAGGCTGGCAGGGTGTGGCTCACAGCCTGGTGAGGTTAATGAGATACCCCGAAGTGCAGGCTCAGAGGAGGGGCAGCTCAGTCCTCTACTGGCCGTGCCCATCCCCCAGCCCTTATCCTTGAGACCAGCTCCCGGTTTGCATCCTGGCCAGGGCACCTCGCCTCTGCCTTGCTCAGTGTCCTCATCTGTAAAATGGGATGAGCCATCGGGGCCTTAGGATCAAGGATGATCTGACTTGGGGAGGCCTGTGGTTCCATTGGGGGTGCTGAACGTCACTGCAGCTGGTCTTCATCATCTTGGGGACGTCCCCCTCAGAGGGGCGGGTGCAACGCTGCCACATCGGCCTGGGACTGTGCAACACAGTGATGCTCATTTCTGCTCTCTTCCCACCAGCGTCTGTTGACCACCTATGGTCTACCAGTCCCGTGGCGTGACATTGCCTGTGTGGTCAGAGCCCATATCCAGGCCTTGCTTGCTCTGCGTCCCCAGGGCCTCTCCCCAGAGCCAGGCACACAGCAGGGGCTCAGAAATGCCTGTCAAATGCAAAGAAACGTGTGGCACCCAGATCTTGGCTTTAAGCACCGTCCTCCAATTCAGAAGCCAGGCTCCTTGGAGAGATGGCCAATCCCAGGGCTGGGGCAGGGGAAGTGCAAGATGGGACCTGAGCATCTCGTGGTCCCAGAAAGTAGATACGCTACAGAATGGTGGAGACGCGTCAGAAGACGGGATCTGGGCAACGTGAACAGCAAAGTAAATCCTGATAATGACGGCAGCTGCTGCAGCCCAGAGAATAGAATACAGACCTGCGAGCCCACACTAAACGGACAAGTGAAAAACGGGGGGGGAGGCCAGCTCTTCACCATCGTAGAAAGTCAATCAGTAGATGCAGGAGGAACGAAGCGTGAAAAGTCCCCATTTATCAACCATCATAATAGCTATCACTTCAGCCAAGAACCACACGTGGATGATTAAAATAGGGCCCTAGGAGCTTGAAGAGGAACAGGGTCTTCGCACAGGCTGCTTGCTAACGACAGAGGGGAGAATGATGACTTTACAGGGGAGAAAACAGTCAAAGTGAGTGATGAAATCGCACGTCACCAGGATGGACACAAAGCGACGTCACGGGCCTGCTGGTGCGCGGTGCTGAGGGGACACATGACCTCTGGGTATTCCTGCCCAGAGCACCCAACTGTAACCCGGGAGACACATCCGCTGAGGCCCCACTGAGGGACGTTCTACAGAACAACTGGCCCGCGTTCTTCAAACCGTCAGCCTCCAGGTTAAAGGCACCACAGAGACACCACGACAGAGCCAAGCCCTGCCCCGGGGGTTTCTTTCACGGTCAAGGCCATTGTCAGGACAGATGGCAAGATCTGGATGAGGTCTGTAGATCAGGAAACAGTACCATCCAAACCAGGAAGTTAATGTTGGAAGCAGGTTGCCCTGCGGTTCAGTAAGAGCATCTCCTGGTTTTAGGAAATACACATGCCCAAGTATTTGGGGAAAAAGGGCGTCCTGTCTGCAACTGATCAGAAAAATATGTCTAAGTACAGAGACAAAGCAGATGAAGTAGAATGTTAACATCTGAGGACCTGGGTGAGGGTAAGTGCCAATTATTTGTATTATTTATTGTGATTTTTGTTGTCAGTCCGAAATCCTCAAAAGCAAACTGGAAGGTGAAGGAGCTCTGTGTGGATTCGGGGCAACCGGGCAAGCCTCCCAGGAAAAGCGAAGTTCGCCGACTCCCACTGGCTGGGCTCTCAGACCCATCCCGATGCCCATGTGTGTTGTGGGGCCGATAGGGCCGGAAGCCTGGTGACATGGTCAGAACGCTTCCCATTCAGGCCGCAGTACCAGACACCAAGGATCCCCGGCTCTAAGATTTGCTGCCCGTCCCGGGGCTGGGCTGCCCTGTGGGAGGCTGGTCCAGCCCACGTGCGTCCAGTAGGCCCCAGCTCCTTCTTTCCCGTCCTGGAGTGCTCCAGAGGGGGCAGATGCCATGCCATCGGTGGGCTCCCCAGCCCAGGCTGCCCACTGCCCCTCCGAGCCCCTCCTCCTGGCCAGGCAGGACCCCAGGACCACTTCCGGCTGTGAGTCGGCACCCAGGAGGGCCACCCAGGCCCTTCCCATCTCCACTTACGCCTGGAAGGACCAAGGCAACAGGTGTAAAAATACCTCCAATCACCAAGGACGGACCATGTGAGGCCCTGTGTGAGGTTTTGTCCCCATTCTCCAATGCATCAATCATTCATTGATCATTCAAATATTTATTGAGCATCTACTGTATGTCAAGCCCTAGAGGCCCAGCGGGCAGCTAGGCAGGTGACCGGGATGAGGGTGGACGATGTAACGATGGGGACGTCTGAGGAGGGACAGGGGCCACAGGCTGTCCCTGGCCCTTGGAGGGCCCTGGGCGCACCTCAGTCTCCCCCATCTTTCCTTCCTGTCCTCCAGGGCCCATGGAGGTAGAAAGAGGGGTCCTGGAAATCACCTAGGCCACCCCTCAGGTTTCCAAGTGGGGAAACTGAGGCCCAAGTCAAGTAGTGGCCCAGCAACAATCAGGATTAGAACCAGGTCCATGGCAGCCAGCCCAGCCTTCCTTCCCCATCACAGCCCCTCCTGTGCGGTACCTGGGCTGGCCAGCTGGCAGGTGTCTATGTCCACATCACACCTGCCCCTCCTCCTCCATCCAGGAGGTGGCCCTGCCCCAGTCCTGGCCTGGCCACTGGTCCCTTCCCTCTCTGGGCCTTAGTTTGCCTCCTGGGGGAACGAGGGATGCCCCATCCTGAGTAATCCTGGGGCTCATGTCCTGAGGACAAAGCAGGACTGCGGGAGTGCAAAGCTTTGTGAGGGAGCTGTAAATGCATCCGGGAGCCGTTCCAGAGGCTCCAAGCCCTCCCCTTTCTCTCACTGACGCGCCCCCAGAAAAACACGACCGGCCCTCAGTTCTCTCGCGGATGGCTCACTGGACAGTATCCCCGTCAGCACGCACGCTGACAGCACAGATGCCCGCTCCACCCACGGGCAGGCTGTACGATGGGATGGACCGTGCACCCCGAACTCACCGCCTCTGATGGGGGCCTCGGCCTCCTCAGGCCCTGCTCGCTCCCAGCTGACCGACAAGCTCATGGCCACTCTCTGGACCTTGTCACCACTGTCACTGCCTCCCGAGGGCCCTGCAGGCCCCGTCCTCATCGGGGCCGGCTCCACAGCAGCCACCTGGGCTGGGCCCTCCATGACCGTCAGTGGCCTCGGCGCCAAGGGCTCGGCATGCCCAGCGGGCCCCTGTGGAGAGAGGAGAGGTTGGTGGTCAGCGGTGATGGCCTCTGAGAAGACCGGCCGCTGGGGTCAACACAGATGTTGCTACCAGAGTTGGGGTCAAGAGGAGAGGATGGCTCCCCTCTGCCTGGTGCATCCTTTCAGCGCTCTGCTTGCCCATCTCTTCTCCTTGGAACAGAATCTTTCAGAGCCACGTGCCAACATTTACGTGGTGATTTGGCCCATGCCCACCTAGCCCACTGGGTTGAATGTCCTTGTGGGCAGGTGGGGTACCTGTTCTTGCTCAACAGACCCCAAGGACATAGCTCAGAGCCTGACATGCCCAGAATGTCACTGTCAATGTCTGGACGACGTGTGAGCCATGAAGACTGCGTGGGAACGGGGCAGAGCCGACACCCTGGTTGGACACGTGGCACCGCGGTTTTGAGCTAGGCCCCCACACATCCCGCCCAGCTAGGGCCGGAATGAAGACTCCCCCAGAGACACCTCGTCTCCCGAGATGCCACTATTTGTTTTGTTTCGCACAAGCTTGAGCTGCGATGTGAGTCCCAAGAGACCCTGTGGTTCCTGACAACCCTGGGGCCTGAGCTGGCTTGGGGGACTCCGAGCTGGAAGAGGCCTGCGCTCTAGCGGGGTATCCAAAACGCTGTCCCCTTGGTCAGGACACGGGCCAGGTTCCAGGTTGCCCGGGAGGGAGGGAAGAAAGCAGCTGGCAGGCGGGGGGAAGGAGGAAGTGGCCGAGACGGAACTGGCAGCTGCTCCCAACCCAGGTGCGCTCAGGCCTCCCTCTAAGAGCCAGTCATTGTGCCTCACTCTTTCCTGGGGTCATCTTGGTGCCCAATTAGAGGACACAGAACAGCACAGAGTCCCCTTTCAGTCCTTGATCCCTGGGGCGATGGGGAGGGCGGGCAGGGCAGCCTGGGCCAGGGCCGAGGAGCCAGGGCAGACCCCCACCGTGGCCACAGGGACCAGGATCTGCCATGTCCAGCCTCAGGGACAGAGGAGACGAGGAATGGCCATGCTCACTCATGAGGAAGGTCAGTAAGAGCGTGACTGGGATGCACGAGCCAGGGAAGGCCCACATTTTGGGCCTCGCTGTTCTCTGATCGCAAACTGTGAGATTTCAGCCCAGAACAGTCCAGCGGGAATTCTGTCTGCGTGGAGTGGAGCGCACAGACAGGAAAGCACACCTCCAACCCCCTTTCTGGGGAGAAAACTGCAGTCGAAAAGCAAGTCTGGCCGCCTGCTGGCCTGCCCCCTTTGTGGCGGATGCTGGGGAGCAGGGCAGACCCAGAGAATGCCGGGGCCAGCAGCGGGGCCTCAAAGCTCAGATGTGTAGGCCAGGCCTGGACCACCCAATGGCCCCTGCAGTCCTGTCTCCCAGCTCCACCTGGTGCTGAGGTGGGGAACAGGCAGACAGGGAGCCAGGCAGGGGCGGCTGTAGAGACACCATGGGTCAGGCGTATAGGACACGGGCACAGGTTGTGACGGATGAGGCGGGGGACCTGTCGCATCGAGCGCCCCATGCAAGCCCCTTGAAGCATTTTAAACCTGGAGCAAGGGTTCTATGTTGTGGAAAGTTCATTCCAGTCTCTGGGCAGAAAGCACTGAAGACAGAGACCAGAGGCCTCTCTCTCACATTAACACACACACACTCTCCATTCAGACACTCTCACGTTAACACACTCATGCACACACACCCGTCAGTGCTGCCATCCCTTATCTTTACAAGGGCAAATGCAGAAACTCCACCCAAGTGCCAGCTCCCGCCCTCTGTCCACCCCCAGACCTCCCTCCCGCCCAGCACAGTCCTCGGCTGGGGAGACCGGCCACCGCCCCATGGCAAGGGGCTTTCACAGGACACCGCTCCCTGGTACCACTGGCGACCCCACGGGGGCATTCAGGGCAGGGTGCAGAAGCCTGGATGGGGAACAGAGACAGGCAGAAGTGGGGCAGTGCAGCCTGAGCCCACTTCCCCATGGACGCTGCTCTCCCCTGAGGACTGGCCTTGACCCCGAGCTCACAAGGGCCGGGCCCGGGCACCTCCCTCACCGCCTCAGTCTGCAGAATGGGGGAGGCAAGCCCCTAGGCTCTGAAGTCTTTGGTTGTTTCAACAAACACCACCGACCCTTACCCCACGGCTGGCTCCCCACTGGGCAGTGGGGACAGAGGGAGGACAGCGCAGGCCTGTGGTGGTTGGGGGTCCAGAAATGAAATGGGCAGCGATGGTTCCGTGGCAAGTTCTGTGAGAGGAGAGAAGAGAGGCTCTCCTGACCCCAGAGGAGGAGAGAAGAGAGGCGGACAGTCAGGAAGGCTCCCTGGGGGAGGCGGGATCCCTGAGTGAGGGAGAAGCGCACGGAGGGAATGGGAGGGCGGAGGAGTGGCCATCCACAGAGACGACAACGCGTCCAAGGCAGAGCTGAGAGACTGCCAGACGCCTGTGCGGTCACTTTAGCTCTGCCTGTCCCAAGGGGTCAGCACCAACCAGGTGAAGCATGGGAACCTCAGAGTGGCCACACAGCCAGGCAGCTGCGGAGTAATGACTGGGTCTCAGACTCCCCCCAGGCTGCAAACCCCTTGATCCTGGGGTGGGGCAGAAGAGACAGCCCAATGCCGGGAAGTGGCCTCAAGGAGCCCCCTCCAACCCCGCCCCAGCCCAACTGTGCTTCCCATCCCCCAACCACCTCTGACGGGCAGGGACACAAACTGGGGGTGGGTGAACGTGGCACTTGACCCCAAGGGGCACCTGGGGCACCCTTCTAGACAGCCCCTCCCCCCAGGGAAGCTGCTCAGCCCAGGGAGGAGGGAGCAGGCCCGAGGCCGCTGGCTTTTCTAGAGGAAGAACCACACGCAGAATCCGGATACCGGGATCGCAGAGAGCAGGAGCGGCACAGCTGCGGAATTCCCAACACAGCCTCAGTTAAACGGCCTGTGTGTCATTTGAGGCCCTGGTGCCCCGGATGTCCTGGTCCCTGGTCCCGGGGTGCCGTCTCCGCCCTCGTCACGGTGAAGACCACTGGGCGTCTATCTTTCAGGATGCAGTTCCTGTCCCGGCCCGCCCCCCCACGGCCGCAAGCCCCGTCTGGGAGTTTGCTTCTTCTCCTCCGCACTTTGGGACCTGCGATCCGGCCCCTCAGCACCTGCCCCGCTGCCTGGCCCCAGGCCGGAGTCGGACGGGGAAGCAGGGCTTTGACCCTAGCTGCCCTCCCGGCAGCTCCTCCCTTCGGCAGCCTGGGAAGCAGGGGGGCGCTACCATCCAGCCATCGACCTGCATGGCCCCTCTTTGTGGAGCCTCCAGTTCCTGCCCCCATCTCCTCCCCGGGGTCCTGCCTTCCCCTCTCTGCCACTTCGTCCTTCAGGGCCAATGTCCCCCCTCCAGTGGAGCAGGTGCCACATCCAGGGGTCTGCCTGTAGTCCCGCCTGCCGTCCCCAGGCCAGAACCAACCCGTTGCATCTGTGTCGGGCCCCCTCAGGCCTGCCCCGGGCAGCTCTGGGGCGGTTTCCTGAAGAAGGGAGGCTCCAGCGCTGGGGAACCGCCCACCCTCTCAGTGAGGGCCACGCAGCCCTGCAGCTGGCCGTGCCCAAGCAGGCTGCGGTGAGAAGGTGACAACCATAGGCGTGGAGCTCCCAGTCACTGCTGGCAAAGAGGAAGTGGGCGTCCTTTCCACGGAGGGCTCCCTCCCCACTGGTTCCTAAGATGGCCTTGCTGGGCCTAACAGGCTGTGGGTTCGCAGCTGTAGAAGGGGCTGCCCTGACCCCAGCCAGGCGGCGTCCGGTGCCCCCAAGGGCAGCCTGCTGGCCACCATCATGGAGCCCCAGAAACTCTTCTCCCTTCCGGCCTTTATCCTCTTTGCTTACCCAGGTGGGCTGCCTGGTGGCTCAGCAACGGGCCCCAGGCCCCAGCCCAGCACCCAACCCCAGGCGGACGGGAGTTTGGACCAGAACCCGGAGACCTGGGGTCAGTGGGCAGGGAGACCTCTCCATGCCTCAGCCTCCTGCCCCCGAGACTGAGACTGAAAACACCGCCCCACTCGGAGGTCGGAGGTCAAAGGACTGAATGGATGGTGCTCCCGGGAACCATTGGTACTTAATAAATGGGGGCTGGACGAAGGGAGGAGATGGCTTGGGGGGCTCTGGCTGGAGCTGTCACTGGGCTCAGGCCCAACAAATACTCTGAGGGCCCCTGTGGACCTCATCCACCTCACCAAGGAGCACCTCCTGAGGGTTGTCTGGCCACTCCGTCCCACGGTGAACAGTGCCCCCCAAATTCTCATCCATCCAGAATCTCAGAGGGGACCTTATTTGGAAATAGGGTCTTTGCAGATGAAGGTAAGATGAGGTCACACTGGAGCAGGGTGGGCCCCAAGTCAGTGACTGGTGTCCTTACAGGAAAGGGAGGGACACGCAGACAGACACAGAGGGAAGAGGCTGTGTGACGGCGCAGGCGGGGACGGCGAGTGCAGCCGCATCCAGGGACGCCTGGAGATGCCAGAGGCTGGAAGAAGCAGGAAGGATGCTCCCCGGAGCCCTGGAGGGAGCCCAGCCGGCCCACACCTCGACTTCGGCCTCCTGGCCTCCAGGACTGGAGAGCATCCGTCTCTGCTGTGGTGGCCCCGGGGAGATGCTTTGTCACTGTCGTCCCAGGACACTCGTCCACCCCGCAACCCTGCACTCGACTTCCTCTGCTGTGAAGCGGGGTGTTTTTGTGAGGGTTATCAAACGCCCAAGCGCGGCACCACGCCCACACAGGAAGCATCCTCATTCTCGACGGCTGTGTCGGCAATCACAGAAGCACAGCCCCCACCCGGAGGTGCTAACTAAGCACCTTCCTTTAACCCTCCTGGCTGCCTGGAGGAGGAAGCATGACCGTGCCTGTGTCACAGATGGGCACTCTGAGGCTCAGGGAGCAGCTGGGGTGACTCGGCCTGGCCACGGGGACACAGGTGGGATTTGAACCCCGGTGGGTCCGAGTCCAGCTTTCAAGCACCCACCCTTCAGCACGGTGCACCCCGCTTCGGGCTCTCACGCTGCCTCCAACAGCGAGTCCAGCCACAGCTCCCCCTACTTGGGCACTGGGAGGCCACCCCTCGAGCAAGGGTGCAGGCCGCCCCTGCCCCTGGCCCCGGCTCCGGTCAGCACCACTAACTCCCCGCTGTCACTTGGCCATCTGTGATTTCTATGAACCCGCCAACTGCAAAAGGTCAGACACCCCAGAGACAGGGCCGGGGCTCCCAGAGAGGTCACAGCCGTGTGCCTGGACCACATGCCCAGGGCAGGACCCCGCGTTAGAAGGCCCGGGTCTGCATCCTCCCGGAACTTTCTGGTTGGTGCCCCTGGGCAGGTCTCTTGTCCCGTTTTGTTGCTGGAAAAGAGGCCCAGGAGCAGTGACCTCAGAGTGGCCGGGTCACAGCTGCAGGGTCCCCCTGGCCTGGGACTTGTGGTGTCTGCCTGCTGCGGCTCCAACCCAGGGTGGGGTCCCACCTGAGAGACCCCCAAGACCTGGAATCTCTTATTGCTGCCTGCATCCCTGCATCTTGTCCAGACCCTCGGGACACACTCACCGAGCGCCCCGTGGAGGAGAAGTCCAGTGAGACCACAGAAGCTCTGGTGCTTTATCAAACCCGACATCATTACCACACCATCTCTGCTGGCCAGTGCTGGCCACACTCCCGGAGCTCGGGTCGGGGTCATCTGCCTGGTGCCCACGCTTTCCAGGCCGCCCCTCTCCTCAGTGCTGCTCCCCTCAATGCTAAAGTGTCAGAAAAGTCTTCGAGAAAGTGAGAGGCAAGAGTCTACTCTCAGATCCAACTGTGGCAGGACCCGGCTCGGCGGACAACGCCTGCTGGCCAGTCCACGCCCCGCCTGTCCCAGCTCCCCCTTCCCTGTGCCCCCGTCCCAGCGCCCCTGTACCTGCATCCCACTCCTCAGAGGCAGCTCCCAGGCCGCCTGGCCGCAGGCCCCAGGTGGCTGCTCCCGGCTCCTCGCTGGCTGGCCCGCCAGGCTATCTCTGCCGACCGGGCAGGCGGCGGCCGCCCACAGCCCGGCTGACTGCATGGCGCACTACCGCCCCCGGCTTCCTGCCCCACTTCCTCCCTGCGCCCGGGCCTGGCGGCGAGAGGCAGGCCCAGTGCTGCTGCGCTGACACCGCCAAGGCCCATCGATTATTAGCTCCTTCCTCAACCAGCTCCGGGCCCTGTCCTGCCTGCCCACAGCCCAGCCCCCAGCTCTGAGCAGGAAGCCAGGGGGCACCCGGGCTCCCACCTCGGCCCTGGGATTGCGGAAGTCCACCAGCTGCCAGCCTTCTCGCCCTGCCAATCTCAGCTCTGCTCTCTGTTCCTCTTTCACTTACTGTACACACACACACACACACACAAGCACACGTGAGAGCACACACAGACAGACATGTGCACTCACACACACAGACACAGGCAGTTCCTTCCCTCTGCCCAGGTGCTGTCCCAGCCCCTTGGCCCAACCAATGGAGACACGTGCAGGGGACAGGCGGGAACCAGCCCACAAGCTCTCCTGCCTTCTTTGCCTTCCCTCTGCCTCTAGGCCTGACCTGGATTTGAGAGCAGGAATCTCAGCCTTGCTCACTGGGGAGCCTGGACTGGGTCCCCTGGGGACTCCGACAAGAATCAGGAGCTGAACTAGGGTCGGCCCTGTGGCCCCACCCTCCCATTTGCTCTCACGACCTGGCTGGGGCAGCCCAGCCGCAGGAATCAAGAGTAGGAGGGTGACATTCTTCTCCATCCGAGCTTGGGATAGGCCCGGCTTTCACGCGCGGCCTGAGTTAACACCAGGAATAACCTCTAAATTAAGTGGTAACGTGCCCATTTTACAGATGCGGAAACTGAGGTTCAGGGAGTTCAAGTGACACGACCAAGGCTAGTGACAACTAGAAGACGAGCCCAGAACCAGGTGTGATGGGCACTGCAGCCCATCATAGACCAGGGTTTCTAACCCAGCACTGCTGACATTTGGGGGGATTGCTTTTTGTCGTGGGAAGAGGCCTGTCATGCGCACTGAGGGTTTTAGCATCATCCCTCACCTCTAGGAACTAGATGCCGACCCCAGCTGTGACAAACAACACATTTCTAGACACTTGTCCCCTGGGGGCAACGTCACCCCAGGCTGAGAACCGCTGGTCTAGGCTGCGCTACTCCTGGGTGACACCACTCCCACCCAGGGCCTGCTCGGTCCTCACCCTCCCACCCCGTCCATCTTTTCTCTAATCAAGTTCTTGGAATTCTGCACTGCCACCCCCAAGGTCACAAACTCCTGAGGTCCAACGTGAGGCCCAAGCCCCTCCCTGGGCAGAGCGGGCCACTGCATCCCGGAGCAGGCAAGCCACTCCCGTGAGGGGCCCAGCACCTGGGGTCCGCACACCCCCAACCTGCCCAGGCCCCACCTGCACACCACCGACACGCTCAGTGACCACGTGGAGGGAGCCAGAGGGGCCAGGCAGGCATTTTCACAGTCCTCCCATGACCACAGGCTAAGTGCCAGCTGTGCATCTCATGCCGTCCCGTGGGTCCCAGGGGAGCAGGGAGCCAGAGAGCAGAGGGGCAGCTGCTCCCACCAGCAGCTCTTCTGCCCACCGGCTGCCCACTCTGTGGAGTGGGAACAGAGGCCTCTCTCTGGAAGGATAGCTGTCGTGGTCACCATGTCAGTGTCCTGGGGCTGCCACACAAAGCACCACAGCCTAGGGGCTTCAAAACAACAGAGATTAAATGCTGTCTCAGTCGGGGGGCCAGGAGTCCCCAGTCAGGGTGTGGGAGGGGCTGCCGTTCCCCCCTGAGGCTCCAGGGGAGGGTTGTTCCTGCCTCTCCCAGCATCTGGGGGCTACAGGCGTCCCTGGCCTCGTGGCTGCATCGCCCCAGCCTCCGCCTGCCTCGTCACATGGCCTCCTTCTCGGAGCACCTCCTCTTTTCTCTCTTACAAGGACCCTCATCATCGTCACCATATTTAGGGCCCAGCGGATAATCCAGGATGATCTCGTCTCAAATCTTCACCTTAATTACATCTGCAAAGACCCTTTTTCCAAACAACGTCATGTTCCGAGGTTCCGCTGGGCATCCCTGTGGGGCCGTCATCCGGTCAGCACACCCAGACCCCTACGGGGGAGTGAAGCAGGCCCAGGACAGGGGGCCAGTGCACGCCAACGCCCGCCTGCCTGGCCACGGCGCCCTCCCGCCAAAGCTGCCCTGGGCCTCGGCGACATTCAGTCCTCACTGCCCATGTCCTCCCAGCCCACGCCCCAGGCCTTTGGGCCCAAACAAGGTCCAGCCGCCCCTCCTCCTCACGGACACCTGCCTCTCCACCTCCCCACCCCTCCTGTGGGCTCCTGTTCAGCTTCCATCCCGCCCAGCCCAGTGGTCGGGGGCCTCTGTCCCGCTCCCTCCACCTCCCCCTTCGCAGCCCTTGGCACAGATGGTGCCCGCCCCAGCAAAGGTCCCTCAGCCACGTCCACAGCACCGTGGGGGGGTGGATTTTCCTGCACCTCCCCCTGAGCTCACAGAACGGCTGCTCCTCTGCTGGGGCCACCTCCTGGGCGAGCTGCCTCCCCCATCCAGAGACAGGCACTCAAGCCCCCTTTGCACTGGCCCCAGGACCTGTGGATGCCCACAGATGGGCCAATACCAGCCCCGCCTGGGTCCTTTTCTCCCCACCCCTGCTGCACCCCCTCTAGCCTTGTGACTCCCCTTCCTGGCCTTCTCACCAGAGGGTAAAGCTCTAGGTCCCATCATCCCCAGGACAGGCGGTCACTCTGGGTAGGACCTGGGCCAGCCAACAGCTCCCACGTCCACTGACACCGCCTTGAAGGCCAGCTCTGCTGTGCTGGTCACACGACCTCAGAGAAGCCCCACGTGGGATTGGGGGTTGTCCTGTGGTCTTGCTCTGGGCCATTATGAGGATTAAACTAGATTCGAGAATTCTCTAACAGGCCAAGCACAGAGTGCCTAACACAGCCAAACTTAGGTGTCTGTTCTCCTTACGAATGCCAGTGACTGGTCCTCTCCCATGGCCTCGGACCCCCAGGAGCAGGGGACAGAGCTGCAGGCATGTGAAGAACGAGGAACGTGTCTGGAAGGTCGGCACGCCGGCCAGGGCCCTGGCCCCGCCGTCCACCCCACAGTACACCTGCATGCAGCCCGGGGCTGGCCTGTCCCACTGCTCAGTAAGGCCCCGGGGGCTGCGGAGAGAAGCTGGGCCGGGCACTGAGACCTCCCTCCCTCCCTTGCTGTGTGCCCTAGACACGTCCCCCTGCCCCTCACGCCTGTGAGCAGAGGCCCCAGTTTTCCAGCCCACTCTCTGGAACCCCACATTGTGCAGGATGTGAGATGTGTGGCTCCTGCTCCCTTTGTTTTTCTGGAAACAGTGTTGAAAGGGGCCTCAGACGGGCTCCACATCCATAAAGGGTCTGGACACATTTCCTATCCTGGCCATTGTCCCCCACTGCAGCCGGAGACCCCGCATCCTGTTTGTCTCTGCAGCTGCGCCCTTGACCCGAGGCCAGGGGGGTTTCCAGGAGGATGCCAATCGTGCCCAGTGCTCCTCAACTCTGCCAGTGTACCTCAATTCTGCACAGAGCACCCCAATTCTGCACACTGCACCTTGACTCCACAGAATGCACCCCAGCTCTGCAAGCACGTCCCAACTTTCCTTGGATCACACAAGAGCCTTCACAGGAAGAGCACGAGCTTCTAGGTCGGGGGCTTTCCAAACAGGGCCCTCCTGGCTGCGCACGGGGCAGACCCACACAGCCCCGCCTGAGAGAGGCCCGTCTGGGGATCCTTCCGAGAGGGCATGTCGCCTGCCGGGCCTCGGTTTCCCCCGTTTCAAACAAAGTAGAGCTTAGAGATCTCTAAGTGCCCTCGCAGCTCAGCAGCTCTGAGCTCTGACACGGTTGTAACAAATTCCAGTTGTCACTTGCCAATAAGGTGCTAAATGCAAGCACCCCGATTCCCAGGAACCCCTGGAAAGCAAGTCCTGTCCAAGTCTGGGGTTCTGTGGGGAACCCAACCCCAATTTCAGTCTGTCAAGTGATGACTCGCCTCTGCCCTTTCCCGGATCACAGGGACCAGAGGGGCACCCCGCCTTCCGGGTTCTGCTTATTTTGAATTTTTTGGCTCATGGGGAAACGGCAAGAATTGCGGTCATATAAAGACAAAAGGCGATTTTGAACTTCACGTAATGTCATTCTAGAGCGCTTTCAGTTCTCTGGGACGGTGAGGAGCTGTACCCGCACAGAACCTCGGAGCTGGAAAGGTGGCCAGGCCCCCCACGCCACGCTGGGGTCCCCTGCACAGCCTCCCTGGCACGTGCGCCGGCCTCTTGCTGGAGCCCGCACTGCACCTCTAGACAGCTCTGCTCCTGGGGTTCGGAGCCACCCCTGCCCCCAGCGACTGCGGCCCCACCAACCCCTCTCCACCTTCCAGTCCCCACCCACGGGTGGCTCACAGACAAGTGGGGAGACAGACGTGGAGACAGACTGAGATGACCAAGCGCGATCCATGCAGTGACAGAGGGAAGCCTGGGAGGGAAAGGAGAGGAGGGTGAAATCCAGAAAGTCTTCCTGGAGCTGGAGGCTCCCGGGCCGCGTCTTGGAGGAAGAGGGACTAGGCAGGGAGCTAGGTATAAAGGCCTTCCAGGGGACAGGGTCAGCTCAGAAGAGCACTTAAGCCTGGCCTCACCAGGACAACCCTGCTGTGGGTACGCGGCTTGCTAACTCCATTTCCAGGTGACTGCGGACAATGGGAGCCCTGGAGAGGCCCAGGTCACCCTGTTGCCCTGAGGGTTAATCTACAACAGGCCTTAAATGGTGAATCTCAGGAATGCAGGCCGGGAGGGAGGTATATGACCCCTTTCCACTCCACCAGGCTTCTGGTTCTTTCCAACAGTCGTGTGTAGTAGAAACAAGGCCTGCCAGAGCCACATGGCTGATCCCGAAGCAGAGGACGGCAAATGTCTTCTGTAAAGGGCCTGAGGGTAGAGAGCTGGCTTCCAGGCCACCGAGTGGGTCTCTGCCACAGCCCTGCCATCACGGCGTGAAAGCAGACATATTAGCAAATGAGCGAGCCTGGTGAGTGCCAATGAAACCTCACTTACAAACGGGGGCTGGTTTGGGCCTCGGGAGGGGCATGTTAGTGGAGAAGCACCTCAGGACCACCCCACGGATGCAAGAAGGAGTCAGCGCAGAGGTGCCCGGCCACCCTGGAACCGGGACGCACAAAGAC